AAAAGCAGCTGGATATGACCTCTACAGGTTAGTTACAACATGTGCTCTGCTTTGGAAATGGCTGTTTATATTCCAACCACGTTGTTTTATTTCTAAAGCTCCTTGAATTTAACAGAAATTTCACTTTGTGCATGTTCTGCACACAGAGGGTGCACAGTTAAGCTGAAATCATAACTTAAGATGAAAAGCTCTGCTCTGCTGTATGCAAGATAAACTGATGCTATTCCTCTGTATAACTCCTCTCTCCTCTTTTGCCACAACAGTGCTTATGATTACTCCATCGGTCCTCTGGATAAGGCGATAGTAAAGACAGACATTCAGATTGCTGTTCCCCATGGACATTATGGTAGAGTTGGTGAGTTTGCTAGCTGCTGATTGTGCTTCTCAATTTCACTTCCTGTTAAGCTCGTGCAAATTTAAATGCAAGTATTTCTTTTTCAGCACCAAGATCTGGCTTGGCAGCTAAACACTTTATCGATGTTGGCGGTAAGTCTGGGTAGAAACATCTGCTTCCTCTGTTGATCATCTAAATCAAGCAGTGTTGTGCACGTTACTTTGAAAAAGTAATTAGTTATAGTTACTAGTTACTTCTCCCAAAAAGTAACTGAGTTACTAACTGAGTTACTCCACATTAAAAGTAACTAGTTTCTAGTAAAAGTAACTTTTGCGTTACTTTTGCGTTTCTCGCCCCCGTAACCCTCACCACCCGGCCCCCACCTTCTCGCGGTGTGTTTTCAAAGCCAGCTGAATAGAGCGGACGACAAAGACAAGAACCTGCAGAGAGTTTAGCATTTATTGCAACTCAACGTAAATGACATCAGGGGGGAACGCCATGGGAAGTTTTTTAACAGGGCATTCAGATCTGGTGAAATTAAAAACTGGGGATGTCTAATTCTGAAATCCTGTGTGTTTGGGTTGTTATAGATACTGCAACATCTATCTATCCATCTATCTATCTAGATGTATACTCTGCGTGTGACATAAAATATGGATCTCCATCCCTGCCACAAAGGCCATCAAATAATGTTTAAAATTAAAAATACAGTAGGTTGAAAAGTCAGAGCATCCATCCATCCAGATTTCTCCCTTTCTCCATATAGACTGTCATTTGATCGTTCACGCTCTCCATAGTTCTCCTGTGGCGTGAGCACAGGGCGACTGTTGCGCGCCTTTAGCGAGCATGCGCGTTTCCTGTCGCTTGCTCGGTGACTCGTGCCGCCTGCGCTGTGTGGAGATGCAGAGGAAACTGTATCTGATGGGGAAACGCAGCTCGACGTAACACTGGTATTTCCATCAGGAAAACGCTGTTTTGCTGCTGGAGTCATCCTCACTCTCCATCTCTCTGTGTGTGCTGCACGTTAACACCCACCAGCAGAAACACACACCTACCCAACTGACAGACGGAATCTCACTATTCATCAGCCATTCTCATCCTCCCCTCTCTCATGACAAGGCGCGCACCTCTGGGTGACCTAAAAAATAATCTTTAATATCTCTTAAACAAAAGTAGAACAAACAATATTTTTTTCTGCACAAATCTGCACTAACGTTGCACTAACCATTCAGTCTATTTGCAGAGTTTTTTGACGTAGGTGGGGTGTCAGCTTCACGCAGCTGCGCACGAGTCCTATCATTAAAAAAGGTTCATTGTGCGACCTGAGTAACGCGCAGTAACGTGGTGTCTGCAATGATAACTGCGTTATAGTTACAGTCAAAGTAATTAGTTATATTACTCGTTACTAAAACATGGTAACGGCGTTAGTAACGCCGTTACTTTCAACGCCGTTAGTCCCATCACGGAAATCAAGACGCTGCATCACACTGATAGGCGCATACTTAATAGCACTCCACTCAAATGTGGAAGAAAGTTGTTGGTTCGATTCCTGGCCTGGGGTGTTTTGCATGGAGTTTGCATGTTCTCCCTGAGCATGCGTGGGTTATCTCCGGGTACTGTGGCTTCCTCCGAGTCCAAAAACATGACTGTTAGATTAATTGGCTTCTCTAAATTCTCCTTAGGTTTGGGTGAATGTTTTTTTTTTCCTGTTTGTCTCTGTGTTTCCCTTCTATGAACTGGCGACCTGTCCAGGGTGGACCTCGCCTCTCGCCAGTAGACAGCTGGAGATAGGCACCAGCACCTCCCACGACCCCTCTTGAGATTAAGCATCCCAGAAAATGGATGGATATTTATTTATTTTTGCCCTGCTCTGAACCTTCAACATCAATGCCTTTTTGCACCACGTCTCTCCTACACTGTTTAAATTTTATTACTGCTGCACTTTATGAATGGAAATTTTATTTTTCACTGCTAAGCTGCTGCTCATTCACTGTGGGAAAGCTATATAAATGAAATTTTGTTTTGTGGGCATATCCTGAAAGCTCTTCATTTCAGTTTATTCATTTTTGGTGCGTTACCGCCACCAACTGGTTAGGGGTTTGGATCAAAAGGGTAAAAGAAAACAAAAAGTGTAAACACACCTGTGTTATTAAATTTAAGCCTGTTGATAGTAGTTAATTCAAGAAGTAATTTTAAATATATCCATGCTTGAAACACCTGGTTCATGTGTCTGCAGTTCAGTAGAAGCTTGTTATTTAATCATTGATTGATATCAGGTATGCTGAGAATCGTCCTTGAGGACCAGAATTTCATAAAATAAAAATAAACACATTAACCATCGGCACATTTGAACAGTTTCTGTGTGTTTACAGCTGGTGTTGTGGATGAAGATTACCGGGGCAATGTAGGTGTCGTGCTCTTCAACTTTGGCAAGGAAACATTTGAAGGTGAGATCTTTCTCAGCATTAAGGTATCTAGTGTTTCGTAAAGGTTCTAGGATGCTGAGGTTCTGTAACCTCTAGAGGAACACAGTGGCATAGCCTAAAAAAATTTTTACTGATCAAAAGCCTGACTGTACAAACACACCATGTGTAAATATGTTATAATTTAGGCTTGTTTGTCATCATATTTTATTCCGTGGCAAATAAACTCTCAATTTTACACATTTCTATCCTTAGAAGAATGCTTTCATGAAGAAACGGAGGAAAATTTGCAAATATATCACTAGATTGATCTATTAATCTATGTCTATTGAGTAATCTAATCTATTTTAGTTACCTCTGTATATCTCCAGGTCTTCAGCAATCTTCAGGTACTTATCACATCTTCCAAGAGTATTCTTCTCACTGCATATACATTAATATAATATGCATTTGTTAACTTGGTCCCAGCTGCAGGTCATTCATCATTTTGACGTCATCGGATAAGGTCTTGCGTCGGGCCTCAGAGGGACGTTATCAGTGGTCTTTTAAATTTTCCATTTACTACAATTGCTCCCTTAGTTGATTTATTCCCCAACCTGCTTAGCTATGTTAGCCGGTTGCAGGTCTATAGTTTTCTCCCATGTGTCCTTCCACAGCTCTTTGGAACTGGCCATGGTTGAGTTTGGATTCTGACAGTTTAAAACTATTGGGGGCTGTCTTTATACAGATAATGATGGGTCTAAGCAGATTTCATTAATACAGGTAATCAGTAATGGACAGAAGAGCTTCTTAAGGTTACTGGTCTGTGAGGGCCAGACATCTTGCTTGATTTAATGCCTATTTGCCAACATAATTTAAATTCAATCACTTTAAAAATACTACAGTGTTATTTTCCTACATTTTTTTTTGTTCTTTTTCATCTTGTCTCTGAAGGTCGAAGTGTACCTATGATGAAAATTACAGATCTCTTTCATATTTCTAAGCAGGAGATCTTGCACAATCAGTGGCTGACAGAAAATTTGTGTATTGTCTCGTGTTTCTCTTCACAGTGAAAAAGGGTGACCGGATCGCTCAGCTTGTCTGTGAGAAGATCTGCTACCCAGCTCTGGTAGAGGAAGAGGTAAACTGCAACATTACTAGCTTGATTTAATTAATCGCTTTTAAGTTGCCTCAAGTTGGTCGTAAATATGGCTGCAGCTAACAATTATTTTTCAAATTCATTTATCTGTTATTTTTTCGATTAATCTATTAATAATGGGAAAGCAAAAGGTTCCTTAAAGAAGATTTTTTACAAAATCAAACGAGGTAAAACAACAACTTTTCCACTTGAGGAGTTCTGGATAGAGTCTATTGACAGAAGAAAAATATTTTTATATTACATGCAAAATGTTTCCTTTTTTTTTTTTTTACAGCTTGGGTATGATTGCTGCTCGCAGTGGGTTCAGGAATGTTTAAAATATCTACACGCCAGTTAACGATTAATCAATTACTAAATTAGTTAACTATTTCAAAAATCGATTAATCTGATTCATCGTTTCAGCCCTAGTCGTAACATTGTTTGTGCAAGGTATGAATTTAAAATGTAACATAATTTTTTACTTTGGTTACAATTTAAACTTTCAGCTCCTTAGTGGTGCCACTGCTGGAAAAATAGTGATTTGTTTCAATATCATTCATACTAATAAATGTCTTGAAGTATTTTGCATTTGCATCTCCAACTTCTCCTTATGCACCAACATCCAAATTATATTATGTATTCGGCTTGATAAGTCACTTAAATTATTAAATTTTTTTCCCCCCCCAGACACTTGAAGAAACTGACCGTGGTGCTGGAGGCTTTGGATCTACTGGGCGCAACTAAATGGTCCAAATGTTACTGGAGTAGCAATAACTGTTTTTCCTGGTATTGAAAATGAGGTGCTTATAAAGTTGTAGTTTTTGGGTTTCTTTCATACAGGTAAATCTGGTTTCTCACTCCATGGTTTCTATAAGCAAGCAGTAGTAGAAGTTTTACAAATTTCCACATGGGGGCAGTACAGGACTGGAATTTTTACCAACGTTTTTAAACTACACTCCTCTGCTGCCTGCTAAGTGTTATAACTCTCTGATACAGGGTAAAATGTGAGATTTCTGTGTACAATATCCAGTTATTTTGTATCTGGTTTACTGTGTACCTGTGAGGTTCATGTTTCCAACTTTGTTAATTGACCAATGGGATAAATAAAGGCATAAAATCACATGCATACACAAAAAAGTATGTTTTATTGTGTGGATTTACAGCTAAACCCTCACTGATGTGAACAGAGAACAGGCTGGTCTGTAAAATGCAGCACTGATTCAACTTGTGAGACGTGTGGCCACAGAGACCTCAGTGCATAATCATGAAGGCCCAGGTTTGGCATCATCAAATGTGTATGAGTGTACACTGCATGTCTGTATAAACTGTTTAAAAAGGAAGTAGTTGGTCATTATAAGCACCATTATGACCCCTTCTAATCCTGGGGCTTCCTCTAGTTTACAAATGCTTCATAGATTAAAAGTGGCACTGATTATTACAGTATAAACACAATTTACATACACAGAAGAGAGCAGACAGGCTTTCAATGCTAGCTGTTGCAGCGGCAAGGACACGAAATCTTCAGAATGACCGACAGGATAGGATCGTATATGACTACTAAGGGTTTTGTAGTGTAGTGCAGTGCATTCAGAAGTCTATGCAGATGTGTTAGCACCAGTAGATATGGATTATTGGATCAGTAGGAAAGATGGAAAGAGTTTAAATAGGCAGTAGGATTCATTCAAGCTCTGATGTAGTTGCATCTCAATAGTCCACAGTGGGTTCCTTCACTCCTACATTTTTTCTTTTTCAACCACTTTCAGCATGTGGGAAGAAGAAATTCTTTAACTCTGCAAGGGAAGGACATTAATATCAAGACTATTGCGACTAAACCCATTCTTTCAACAAAACTGAGTTTATAAAATGACTTTTCGCAGCCCAAGTGGTATCTGATTCCACATATGACATTTAACACAACCTTTCACACCCTCGACAGCTTCAAACGCAGCTGAAGTTGGGTTTCATTAGATCGATCAAGCTTCACTTTGCTGCTATTCGCTTCATAGAATTTGTATCTATGATATGTAGAATCATCTTTGGTGATCAAATGGTGCTGTAAACCCCCACCCACCCCCCTCTTTGTCTCTTTGGTGGCGAGCCCCTAGTTGCCCCTACTACTGATCCACAGTCTCAATTGTTTTGAATTTAGCGCAGTGTGAGCCTGACGCTGGATCAGCAGCTGCCAGCAACATCTGCCGCTCTCAGTCTGGCGACGGTTAATGGAGGATGAGCTGTACCCTCATCTTCAGTACGTCTCCCAGCTGTCCCGTGAGGTAGTCTTTATCATGCTGGTCCTCCAGCTCGGCCAGCTCCTTCTTCCTGTAGAGAGGGACGCTGCTGATCTGAAGGTCGTACGCCCCCGGCGGGATGACCCTTTTCTTACTCAAATGCAGGTAGCTGACGCCCTCCCTCTGGTTGATTTTGAAGAAACTCTCTTCGTTCCCGTTGTCTATACTGTAGCGCAAGTGGTCAGTGAGTGTGGACAAGGCTGGGGTAAACTCGAGGATGTGGTCGCGGTTGGTGAGGTCGCTGATGTTCAGGTGCAGCTGGAGCGTGTTTTCGATGTCCATGCTGGCCAGGCTTACTGCATTATCCTCAGTGAGCTGAAGGGGGAAAAAAAACTAAATCAAAATTCAGATTTTACCAAAACAAACGCTGAGGTAAGATCACGCCTGGTCAATTACAGTTGTGCGTCAACATGAGGCAGTTTGTGCTCATTTGTAGTATTTTTTTAATGTTTTTATGAGACTGTTTATCCTAATAGAGACACCATTTATTTTTTTACCAAATTCTTAAATCCAAATTTCAGTCTGGTTACAGTAAGCTCATTCACAGATGTATCAATTAACCCTTTAATGCAGCCGCTTTTTTCCAACATTATGAGACCTCAGCAGCCAAGCACTGCAAAGGCCTAATTAGATTTTATATGACCTATACATAGTAGTGTCTACTTTTGAAGTAGAAAGAAAATGATACCTGGTTCAAAACATGTCAAGATATTTACCCCTTTTAATCTGATACCCCTAAATAACACCAAGTCCAACCAATTACCTTAAGATTTCACCGAAGAAGTGAAATCTGTGGCCTTTGGCTTTATGGAAAAATAGATATACAGGTGCTGGTCATAAAATTAGAATATCATGAAAAAGTAGATTGATTTCAGTAATTCCATTTAAAAAGTGAAACTTGTATATTATATTCATACATTACATACAAACTCATATATTTCAGATGTTTATTTTGTTTAATTTTGATGATTACAAATGACAACAAATGAAAATCTCAAATTCATCATATCAGAAAATTAGAATATTGTGAAAAGGTTCAAAATTGATGGCCCCTGGTGCCACACTCTAATCAGCTAATTAACTCAAACCACCTGCAAAAGCCTTTAAATGGTCTTTCAGTCTAGTTCTATAGGCTACACAATCATGGGGAAGACTGCTGACTTGACAGTTGTCCAAAAGACGACCATCGACACCTTGCACAAGGAGGGCAAGACACAAAAGGTCATCGCTAAAGAGGCTGGCTGTTCACAGAGCTCAGTGTCCAAGCACATTAATAGAGAGGCGAAGGGAAGGAAAAGATGTGGTCGAAAAAAGTGTACAAGCAAGAGAGATAACCGCACCCTGGAGAGGATTGTGAAACAAAACCCATTCAAAAATGTGGGGGAGATTCACAAAGAGTGGACTGCAGCTGGAGTGAGTGCTTCAAGAACCACCACACACAGACGTATGAAAGACATGGGTTTCTGCTGTCGCATTCCTTGTGTCAAGCCACTCTTGAACCACAGACAGCGTCAGAAGCGTCTTGCCTGGGCTAAAGAGAAACAGGACTGGACTGCTGGTGAGTGGTCCAAAGTCATGTTCTCTGATAAAAGTAAATTTTGCATTTCCTTTGGAAATCAAGGTCCCAGAGTCTGGAGGAAAAGAAGAGAGGCACTTCATCCACGTTGCTTGAAGTCCAGTGTAAAGTTTCCACAGTCAGTGATGGTTTGGGGTGCCATGTCATCTGCTGGTGTTGGTCCATTGTGTTTTCTGAGGTCCAGGGTCAACGCAGCCACATACCAGGAAGTTTTAGAGCACTTCATGCTTCCTGCAGCTGACCAACTTTTTGGAGATGCAGATTTCATTTTCCAACAGGACTTGGCACCTGCACACAGTGCCAAAGCTACCAGTACCTGGTTGAAGGACCATGGTATCCCTGTTCTTAATTGGCCAGCAAACTCTCCTGACCTTAACCCCATAGAAAATCTATGGGGTATTGTGAAGAAGAAGATGCAATACACCAGACCCAACAATTCAGAAGAGCTAAAAGCCACTATTAGAGCAACCTGGGCTATCATAACACCTGAGCAGTGCCACAGACTGATCGACTCCATGCCACGCCGCATTGCTGCAGTAATACAGGCCAAAGGAGGCCCAACTAAATACTGAGTGCTGTACATGCTCATACTTTTCATGTTCATACTTTTCAGTTGGCCAACATTTCTATAAATCCTTTGTTTTTATTGGTCTTCAGTAATATTCTAATTTTCTGATATGATGAATTTGAGATTTTCATTTGTTGTCATTTGTAATCATCAAAATTAAACAAAATAAACATCTGAAATATATGAGTTTGTATGTAATGTATGAATATAATATACAAGTTTCACTTTTTAAATGGAATTACTGAAATCAATCTACTTTTTCATGATATTCTAATTTTATGACCAGCACCTGTAGCTGCTCTGTGAAAGCATGTGGTGCACAACACTCCGAATAGACCATCCCCATGTGGAAACATGGTGATGAAAGAATCATGCTGTGGGGATGTTTTCTCTATTTTTGAAGGGATAAACACTAGTTAGATGTGATGCAAAGATGGATGAAAGACTATTCTAGAAAAAAAAAACTGTTAGAGGGACCAAAGGAATTGAGAAGCAGGACAAATTTAAAACGAAGCATCTGGTGTATTATAATGCATCAAACTCTGTAGTTGTAATATAAAAATAATTAAAGAGGTATAAACAATTTAGTTTTTAGTTTGATTTTCGGGGGGAACGTTGATAAGATTATTGGATCAAAACTGACGGCGTGCATTAGAGTGGAAGTTCTAGATAGTTTTTTCCCCCCTTATTTCTAGAAATAAAGAGAACCAGACAAATGGCTGATGTCTGTAACTGCTCATGTCCCCATAAAAGCCTAAACTGATGAGGTCCTGCTGTGTCCTCTGTCCTGAGCTTAGATTACCTGCATGTCTTCCAGGGCGCCATCATGTGTTGAGTTGACACTGCGGCGTTTACGTCCTTTGTTTGGGTACCCGTTTATCTTACACTCATAACAGGCTTCTGGGGAAAGTGAGTTATCATCCACCTCCCCTCCCTGTCCGCCATTAACACTGGTAAAGCCGAGACCTTTAACACAGTGCCTGGAACAGAAATAAAGTAATACATCAAACAGAAGCAAACGCAGGTAAGCTACTGTTATCACAGCATTGCTTGGATGTACCCTTGTCCAGCGCGGTAATATCCTGGCGGGCATCCACAGAGGTAGCCCCCGTCTGTGTTTGAGCAGCCAAACTTGCATGGGTTGTGGGTGGTGGAGCACTCGTTGATGTCAGAGCAGCCTCCAGAGGACTGCTCATAGTTGAAGCCAGTGGGACACAGGCAGCGGAAGCTCCCCAGGGTGTTGTGGCATGACGCTCCCCCGCAGATCTGGCTGTTTAGACACTCATTCTCATCTGGGTCACAGGAAGTTAGTGGGAAGTAAATAAACAAGTACGGATAGGGGGGGTCATTCCAGTGAAAGAGCACAAACAATACTGGGAAGTCTGTTCTAAATCTTATCGATATGTAGAGAGATTTAAGGTAGACAGGGGCCCCTTTAAAACGATGCAACATTTTCTTGTGATTAATTTGAGCATTTATTAAACTCTGGAGCAGAAAAATAGCTTAAATTGTTGGTGTACATTATTTTGTAAAGTTTCAAGAGATAAAGGATTTACATGTAACAGGAAAACAGAGAAGTTTTTATTATACGAAAGAAAAAAAAGGTATGGCTTATGTTTTAAATACTGTGTTTCTTTGATATTTTAGCAACTACAACATTAATGGGTTTTAAATGTTCAATAATGAAATCCACGGAGCTCACCAACACACTGGTTCCACTGGTAGTGCTGCAGGTAGCCTTGGGGACAGCTGCACCTGTATCCGCCCACCAAGTTCTGACAGCCATGCTGACATCTGTGGCTTCCGTCGCACTCGTCCATGTCTGTTAGGGACCAACACACAACACAATGACTGAAAGGGTTTCATTTCTGTTACCAATCAGTTGGTCGTGCTGTCTTTTTTATTCAGACCTTCACAAGTTTGTCCGTTGGGATCTAGTGAGAATCCCCGCTGGCAGTCACAATTGAAGCTACCCGGGGTGTTCTGGCAGACCCCATTGGAACCGCATAGATTTGGGTCGGATGAACATTCATTGTTGTCTGCGCACAGAGGAGGCAAAGTTCAGGTGAGGGTACAAACTGGAAGATGACTGAATTGGAGTTACAGTTGATCTATTCTATGGAAAGACTAAGAAAATGTGACCCTTGCAGGGCAGTTAACGCTTTATAGGGTCCCCAAAGAAATTCTTTGAAATTCAAAATTTAAAGTCAAACGTGTTATTGGAAGAGAAAAAACAGATCTTTTTAATTTAGAAACAAACAAAAAGTATTTTCATGGCAAAAATCAAGGTCAATGTAATTACCAAAAACAGATACTTGCTGTCATATTCTAAAAAAAAAAAGAAATCGAAAGTGTGCTCATTTAAGAAATTTGTGAAAAACATGGAAAGAAAATTGTCACTTTTTTTTTTTTTCTAAATTAGCTTTGTAACTTAATAAATTTTTTAAATGTAACTTATTCACTTTTTTTCTAACTTAATTAACAGTAGGTCAAATATCACACACAGTAGGCAGCATTAGATAACTGATGGCAGGGGCAGATTTAGGAAATTTGGGGCCCTAAGCAAAGACAGGCAGGGGGCCCTCTGATACAGAAATTTTAATAGAATAGACAAACATTATTTTGTTCTATTTTTTGTCCCTCTCTTTTTGTCCCTTTTCTTGCTGTTTTCCTCTGTTTTCTTTTGTCCCTTTTTCTTTTTATGCTGGCAATATGCTCAGCTGACTTAAATGCTCTCTCAAAAGGGAATCAAAGAATTTATAATCACTAAACCTGTTCTAAATTAGCTGATTGCTCCTTCCTCTGTTTCCAAAAAGGTGACGGCAAAAGTTAATAACCCAGTCCTACTTTCCACTGTAGACAAGCCATGATCTGCTTATCTGTTCTCCAGTTTTCATTTAAATAAAAATAATTGCTGCATGAATCATTACGGCAGACAAGATAGAGGAGAACAGGAGGTGGGGTTACCAATCTACTTGCTCTAGAGAGCAGAGTTTGCTGCTTTTATATGTTGTTGTTAAAAGTCTCCAGTAATAGAAAAAAAGTCACTAGATTTGGCGCTAGGCACTTTTTTTGTAATAAAAGTGTTAAAGGGGTCAGAAAAGTTGCTAAATAAAGCAACAAAAGCACTAAGTTGGCAACACTCTTCGCATCGTTTGTTTTCAAATGGTTTGCTGCTGTCTGTTTGGACCTTTCTGAAGATGTGCAGCAAATATACTGATCCAATGTGGTGGAGACTAAAGGGGAGGGGCTGAGGCACACTTAATATTATGAGCGTTCTGATGGCATTTTAGCAAAAGGATTTTTATCAAAAACATTATCAATCTGCACAAATAAGATATAGTTGTAATAACCATACATGTAAAAGGAGTTTTATGGGGCCCCCAGGAACTTGGGGCCCTAGGCAACTGTCTAGTTTTGTCTGTCTTTTTCTTGTTTGCTGCAAAGGAGTATTTATAACAAAGTTACCAAAAGTGGTTAGTTGAACTATAAAGGGAAGAGAAAAAGGTTAGAAAAAAGTATTTCAGCTTGCGACAGGATAAAAACACAAGAGAAATATTTTAAAAATATTTTTTGCAATGTTTTCTTTTTTTAAGCAGCTGATCCAGTACATTCTCGGCTGCATTCTATTTAGAAGAAAAGGGAGAAACCTTGAAAGTTTTAAATCACCATCTCAACTAGAAGAACTGAGTTTAGAGCATCAAATTATTGGGGTGATCTAGAGCAGTGGACACTCCTGCGCTCAGTAGACGGGTATCACTTCAATGAATACTTTGGTAAAGTAACCTCTGTGCCTGCATTTAATTTCCTTTTGGGATCGACCAAGTGAATGGAATTTGTAGAACTGATCAGGCTCTAAAAATATTAATTATAGTTTTTTTTCCTTCTTTTCCTCATTTTTTAAATACAAGAACTAAAAGATGGTCTACTTGTTTCTTAACAGGACTGTTCCTGATCAATTATCACTTGTAAATGAATGAAAGTTATTTCACAGCAATATAAGTTTGCAAAAAAAAAAAAAAGTTAGGAAAAATCTTCTAACTGACCCTGAATGATTTAGCACATTTTAATTTGCTTGACTATTTTGAGTAGAATCAACAGACATCTGAAAATAATCTGAAGACTCCAAAGTACAATTTTATGCATTTTCATGTTTTAACAGCTGGTTAGGATTATGAAGGGATCCACAAAAGAGCACTCACACCGATGACCCTGGGTAATGCTTCTATCAAACCTAAAAACATGACGTTTTTATTATTCATGTCACACCCTTTTCTCTCTAGACTATTTCACCGTGCATTGCTCATGCTTCAACATCTCATCTGAGTCATTGCCTGAGGTAATCCCTAATGTCCCAACTGAGGATTCCCTGTGCTCAAAGAGAAATTAGGCAATGAAAGCTGATGCATGTTCAAGGAAACAATATTGTACACTTTACATTAGTATCTCAAAGTGCTAAAAACTAAAAGTAAAAATAAATAAAGATACAAAAAGTTAAATATAAATACTAAAACCTGGACAAAATTGTCATTGTCCGATCCTTTAGTCACCTCAACAGACCCCCCACCCACCGACAGAGTAGGAGCCACAGTCAGATTTCTTCCTGTTGAAACTGACTTTTTCCTTTCCACTGTCGTTGCATGATGGCTCAGTTTAAGAGCTGACTGCAGTCAACGACACAATGCAACAGCATGTCTACAATCGCCACATGCTGTTTCAGGAAAAGCGAATCCTGCAAAGTCAATAACTCGATGCAATCAGCTGGGTTTCCTTTGATAAAAAATGAGACTATATGACAGCTGAATTGTCTCTGTAGAGTGCCTTTAGAGTTGGTATAACCCAAATAAACTCAATTGAATTGAATTTACAGAGAGATTAGGCTGGACAACAATCAGCTGGATTTATCTCCACCAACTGCTACCCCCCAAACATAGAAAAACAACGTAGGCCAATAATATTTTCATAAAACATCAGTGCACTTCATGAGGAGCTTTTACAGAAACACTGAGGGAGAAAAAAAATATCTATGAATATCAAATTTGAATGGGCCAATTAGATCTCCATATATAGTATAAAGGACAAAAAGCTTTGAAGATGAGGCCCTAAGTGTATTAACTCATGTTTGTCCATGTGTCACCTTCGCTCTCTCTGTCTGTAGCTCTTGTAAGATTTTTGGGATAAAGATAACCTTACAGACAGGTGATTGTGCATCAACCTGAGTTAGGTAGCCTGGCGTTAGTTTGGAGCCCTATTACTTCACTAATCAGCTGCTAACGGTGGATACTTCTTAAGTATTTGCAGCAACAACTAAACTCCCGTCAAACGTTTGGGTAATTTGGAGGATCTAAAATATTGTTATAATTATTTTACAGTTTAAATGATTTTGAAAGTAATAGAGATTAATAAAAAGCTATTGGGTGACAAAGGCGTGCCCAGACTCTTGACTGGTTTTTATATCGTAACAAGGATCTTGAAAACTGTCTTTCATTGAATAGCTCTCAGTCTTAGACTCCCCCCACTTTTAGATTAACATTACCACTAAATACGGGATACTGAGGAATTTTTACCCAAGGTAATCATAACACAATTATCACATCAGAAAATTTCCAACGTTTATTATTTGGCAATTAATGCGTTATCATGACCAAAACACAGATGGGTGGTGATTAAATCATCTTTCTGAATATGTTATATTTACCAATGCAGGCTGTGTGATGCTGGGTGAAGCCAGGGGGACACTTGCAAGTGAAGCCACCGATGGTGTTAACACACAGGAACTGACAGTTATGCTGTTTGGTCGAGCACTCATCCAGATCTGAAAGTGAGAGGTTCAACATGAAACATCTGCTTTAAAAAAAAAAACTAGAGGCTGCTCAGACGCTGAACTAATGCATTCGAGATAGCCTGATAAGACTTTCAGGCTTTTTTCTGAGCTGAGTTCCTGTGCTTGTACAGCTTTTGGCCTACAAGTGAACTGCAAAGGCAGCAGACACCGGACACACAGAGGGGTACTGCAGCGGTGGGGGAAGTAAAGCCACAGTAAATAAAGATGAAAGAGGCCCTTACAGAAAGGAACATCGTGAATATGCTTGTTTAGACTTGTGAAAAGGCTTGATAAACCCAGACACAGGCACACACGCATGTGCTCTGCAGCTGATCTAACCTGTAAACTAAATCATGGAGAGGTCCTTTAAATTTGAATGTTTCACTGCACAGCGTGTTTTGTGTATCACCTCTGCAGCTCTTTCCGTCCTCCTGCAGGATGTATCCTCGGGGGCAGGAGCAGAGGTAGCTTCCCTCTGTGTTCTTACAGATGAAGTTACAAGGCTTTGGTGCCTGTATGCATTCGTCCACATCTAGAGTGTAAGCATGAAAAAAGACAGACAGAAGAATTTAGATGCTTCACACAGCAACTCCATAACAAGAGATCATGAGACAGACCCAAAGAGTTTCCTCTCTTTACTAGACAGCAGGAAGAAGGAAAGAGTCTGAGGATTAAACAAGGTAAGTGAAGGTCAGGCTTACCCACACACTGTGTGCCGGTGATGTCAGGGGTGTATCCTTGTTTGCAGACGCAGTTGTAAGAACCCAAGGTGTTGATGCAACGACCGTTCTTGCAAAGGTTTCCCATCACACGACATTCATCGATGTCTGGAAGGGAATAAGAAATGTTCGGCTCTATGGGAGTAGTATCCAAAATTTCCAAATAATTAATTTCCTTTTCTTTAGGTGCTGCCTCTCAAGAGTCATAAAAAAAAAGAAATATTAATAGCAAGTATTTGAGGTAAACATTTATATTTATTTTATTTCTCTGGCTGTCTCAAGGTAATTTCATTTAACCCACATATTTATTACATTATAAAAGTAACCAATTTTAAATGGGCGGTTCGAGTAATCTTTACTATTATTTTTTACTATAATTTTTTCAGTGAAAAAAGTGTAACACACACATTTTTGTTCCAACCTAGTTTCTATCAAATAAATATTAACTGAAACTTCACATACTGTAGAAGATTAAAGGACAATACATCTCTTAGGTACCGTTTGGGATTTTTGGGGGGTTGCTAACCTTAACTTTATTTAAACCATCCCATCTCATTTGAACATTCAAATGGGGACTTTCTGAATTAAGAATTTTATGGGAATAATAAACTAGATATAAACTGCCTTTCAAGATTAGGAATGCTAAATGATTTTAAAAAGGATTAAATCATCAACAGATCCAGTGAAGTTCTGCAACATTTTAGAAACAAACAAAAAATTAACATTTAACAGCATGAAAAGGGTTAGAAAGCTATTTTCAAAGCTTTCAGACACTAATGAAGCACAGTGAGAGCCATTATCCTTAAAGAGAAGAAAACATGGTGCTGTGGTGAACTCTCCCAGTTTTACCAAACCTACCAAGGTTACTCCAAGCATTCACAACTTATTCAATTCAAAAACTGCTTCAATTGGAAATATTCAGAAATTTCAGACTCGGCTTTGGTCACCTTACCTGGCATAAGCCGGATTAATACGGGTCATTTATTCTGAATGGTATCAATCTGAAAATGCTCCTGCAGAATGTGTTCGCAAAAGGGAGGGACATTCAGTAAAAATCTTCAAGCTGATGGGGTACCTGCCTCATATCATTCTGGTGATAGGCTTATGTAAGGCCGTCCTATGTGCTCATCCCCATTTTCACTTACCTGTGGTGACATAGAGGAAAAATTGCAAATCTTCTTTTGGAAAGTAAGCTTGTATTAGCGATGCACACGGCAACTGTTAAACTGAGTGTGTAAAAGGAGAAATGGTCGTGCTCTCGCATTTTTTTTGCACATTTCTTTTTAAGTGGGCAGGTCTTTTAAAAAATTTGCGAAAATCGTCCACTATATCTTTAACTGATAAATCAAACTTCAACTAAATACGGTCAGGAGGAACGCACAAACATCTTCCCATCCACAAAGGCAAAAATCCTGTCCTTTTGCTCATTTTTTGAATGTAGTTTATTTCTTGTTTAAATTACATGGTTGGGATGTGTGTGTCTTCTATATTTTTCCTAATTTTAACATAATGTCTTTGTATCGTCGTTAGTAATTTGATGTTTTTTTTTAGTATTCTCACATCTGATGTAAAGCGAGGTTGGATACTTTAATAAAAAAAGGTGATTGATGTAACAATCCTATTGAAAAAGTATAATAAAAGCATTAAGAGTTTATATCTATTACTTAAGTTTTCATAGCATTGATGTTTTAACACTATTTTCTGTTTTTTTTTTTTTACTAAGGAGCACAAATTTTTCCAACCAGTTTGACATACATATGTGATGATACTTTTGTTTAAATAATGTGCAATACGGTGTCAGGTTTCTTCTCACAAACTCTGATTATAGATTTACTTTCAGTTAGTTAGGTGGAATACCTCTCCCATCAGTGGTGTACCCAGGTCCCAATGGACACATCTTCTTGTACTGAGTGGTTCCCTGCAAGGGGCACAGCTCGCAGGTGCTTCCCCAGCCTCGGCCTCCATCACAGCAGCACTCTGACTTGGTCACCATGTTCCTGTTGCTGGAGCTCATCTGACATAGGGTGGTCAAAACTTCTGTGAAACAGAAGCCTTCGCGGTAATCTGAACAATGAGAAAGGAAAAGAGAGGGGGAACATGAGGGGGAGACCAGCAGAGCCTGTAGAGAGCAGACGATACCACCCAGACAGGACCCGACTTCACACGCCAGACATAGATAGATAACCAACACCGCTCTATCTATGCCGTCTGTGAGGGGAAAGATAGCCACACAGACAGGAGGTTTTAACATGTCTCTCAGGAGCTTTTCTCACCAGGCTTAACATGTTGCAGCTGCCCAGATGTGTACATTTAGACAAGTTACAAAAGATTTTCCCCATCTGTCTTGATAGGAGCAGACACTAGGGAAAAAAAGCTCCCCTTCCCACCAAGCATATCATCCCAATGTATATTAAGAACACACAACAACATAAATAAATAAGCCAGAAATAAGTTTTTCCAAACCTCAAAGTCTAACCAAAGTGGTTAGATAACAACATGAATGAAACTCAACTGCTGGGGGTGAATAGAGTTTCAAAAACTACATACCAATACATTCAGTTTGCGTTGGGTTAGCGACGAATCCCTGGTCACATCTGCAGCGGTAGCTCCCAATCGTGTTCTCACAGCGGCCGTTCTTACAGATTCCTGGTTTGGCTGTACACTCGTTGAGGTCTAATACAGACATACATGCACAGCGAAAGGCAAAGATTACACTTTGGTTGTTTTGTGTTTCTTTTTGTTAATGTATCATATTTAATCACTTTAGCGTTCAGAAAAGGAATTTCGATTGTATTTTCCTGGGTATTGATAGAAAATCCATCACCTTGTGCTGCATTGACTAAGAAAATCTTGAAAGTATGTAAAACACTTGAGAACGGATTAAATTTTTTCTTACTCCTTTCTGGATTGAATCATCAAAAAACAAAAACAAAACTGATGCAGCATTTACCTTTGTTCCTCTGTTGTTTCTCCTTTAATAGAAGGTGCCCCTGGCTCAGTCCTTCTATTTAGATTTTTTTCCCCTCATTGGGTGAAATGGGGACCTAACTATAGCTTATATTATGTGAAAAAAAGGATTCCTTATTTATTGAGTCAGGTATTTTTTTCACCAGTCCCATTCTGTCCTTCAGTCCTCTCAGCTGATAGCATTAGATGGCTGCTTATCCTGAGCCTGGGGCAATTAAAGGTTTACTATCTTCTTAGATAGTTTTCATGCCACTATTTGGAATCATGATGAAATGTATTTAAATGCGTTGTTAATTGAGGTGCAACATATGGTGAATTATTGGATCTTAATCTAACTTTATGACTGGAAAGATTTGGTTTTATTAAGATGAAATTTGGACCAACATGAACAGCATATTAACTGGTTCCTTTTTCACTTTTACATCAATTAATGCAAAAAGGAGGGCAGTTAAATAAACAGATCTAAAATAAACCAAAACTGTATAATAAACTAAAAAATAAACCAAAACTTTGATGCCTTGCTCCTCTTTGTTTCATCTGTTTTTGGACATTTTAAGCATTCTACCAACAGGTTAGATAGTCTGTTTACTTCTTTTTTCATGATAGTAGCAAATGCTGGTTAGCACTTAAAAAAAAAAAAGACAGGATTAAATTTTAAATTGCATATGTTTGTATCAGATAACAATAGATGGGCATATATTGTTACTAAAAGCAGACTGGAAATCAGATAATTACCCATGCATCCATCTCCATTTGGCTGCCGTGTGTATCCGGGCGCACAAATGCACATGAATGTACCGATCAGGTTCTTGCAGGTCATTCCCTTGCTGGCACAGTCATCTATACCGTCTTCACACTCGTTGTGGTCTAGCAGTTTGGACAACAAGCTCAAAATTAGATGATGTAGATTTTTCTAAGAATTTAATTTCCTAACTCAGACACTCCTTAACATATTCAAACACTGATGTCTTCTGGTTAAGCAGGCATAAAGTTGCAGATTTAACGGTCTGTTTGAAGTATCACTCTAAACAGTGACGTTATAAGTGCTGATGGGCTCCTCCTGTTTCAGTGATTCTCTACAAATACATCTGTTGCTATGGCACCAAAGCCATATTAGAGAGTAGAGGTATAAACAGGAACTTGACTGGTTACAGTTGTCAGACTGCTTTAAGTTTATCCTAGACAGAGATCCTCTGAGGATCTCGCTTAGATAATGAGTTGCACAACTTTAATCGTGGGGCCACTAAGTCTGAGGGCCTCAGAGAGTTTCCAACTAACACTATACTGCAAAGTAAATGGACATTATCAGAGAACAGTGTAAGAATAAATGTTTTTTGCTTTGGTACCTTTACACATCCTCCTGTCCTCTCGTAGTACGTAGCCTGTGGGACATTTGCACTCATACGAGCCCACTACGTTAACACAGCGGAACGCACACAGCAGAGGATTCTGGGCACATTCGTTGATGTCTAAAGACGTTAAGAAAAGATTGAATATCAACACTACAAGACTGTGGATGGACTTTTAGGCGCAACCTCAGGTACCTTCACAGGTCATCATTGCCCCGGGCTCGAAGCCGTCGTCGCACGCACACTCGAACCCACCGACAACATTAGTGCATGTGCCGTTGCCGCATGGATTTCCAATTTCACACTCGTTCATGTCTGTGTCCATGGGAGTTCATTAGATCTTAGTTAACAGTCGAATAAACAAAGGGAATGTGAGAACTAAATAAAATGAGGTTAAACACCTAAGGAAGTTACCTTCACATGTGACTCCTGTAATATCGAGCCTGTATCCCATTGGACATTCACAGCGGAACGACCCGTCTGTGTTGATACACTGACCGTTAGTACACGGATCAGTGAGGCATTCATCGATATCTGGAATGAAACAACAACAAAAAACACAAAATCAGCACCTGCTTATGTCTCATAGAGCACATGTACAACTAACTGTAAAATTTCTAATTGAAGGGCATGAACCTGTTGTTGAATCATTCGCATCAAGCTTATATCCCTCATTAGGACATAGATCACGATAAGCATCTGCAAAAAAGAAATAGGAAAAGTTTCCAATGAAAGAGAAAAATTATTGTGCCCATTACCAGCATCTATCCGTTTCAGCTGTGTGTGTGTTTGTGAAAGACAACACACCCTCGTCTTTCCTGGGGCAGATATCACAGGGATTTCCCCACCCTTGTCCCGGCATGATGGTGCAGCAGCATTCTGCCTTTGACGTGTTCATAGGCTTCGGAGCGAGGCAGCGTCCATTTTCGAACTTGGTGTAGCAGTAGCTCACACGCATATCTGTGGAAGAAAAACACATAAAATACTGAGAATGTCACATGTTAATATTAAAGTTTAGATTCTATTTTTTTTCCCAATGAAGAAACGAGTAAAATTTCCCTAAAGTAAATCTAACTGACATCATCTAAACTTTTTCTGTTTTCTAGATGGACCTGCAGAATAAGCTGGTGCTCCTATTAACTCTCAATAGGTGTGACTTCCTTGAATATTACTTTGAATTTTTTGAACTTTCACGGATTGAACTTTCTTTTCTTTTGAGTTGATTGCACAAATATATTCCTGTCTGCGGCACTGTCAAATTTCCGCAATTTTGGTCATAAAAACAAAACAAGCCGGCTTCCTGTCTGCGGCACTGTCTGCGGTTAGCTACAATTTGGGAGAGGTGCAGCGGAGTGTCTATTGCACTGCACTCATTGGACTGATTTTGTGCAGTATTTTTTTTGATGCAAGGCAGGAGCATCATTATTTTTCAGTGAATGAGGTTTTAATAGGAATAGGTGGAGTGCAACTTTTCTACTTCTATTATTTGCTGTTGTTTCTCAAAAAAAATGCTTAACAATATTACAGCTTTCATTGATTTATTTCAAATTTGAAACATTGTCTAGCCTGTAAGGTGTAAAAAAAAAAAAATTTGAACCAATTAATCTAATCAAATCGTATCGTGGTGTATTCTTGAGTATTGAAAATAATCGAATCGTTTGGTCAGGAAATCGATCCTGAATCGAATCGCCATGATGGATGTGATTTACACCCCTACTAAATATATGTGTCTATTTGTTGGCAAAGGCTGTAGGAAAGCATAGTTAGTCTTTATTTGGAAAATATGGATGTTTTGCCTATTAATTTTACTATCGGAACAGTGTAGATTGACCGTAAGGTTCTGGTGCCTATCCGCTTTTGGCCGCCCCTCAGTGTACATTGGTTATTGCCTGGCCACCCTTAGAAAAAATTTCTGGCTACGCCTCTGCTGTCCGCGTAGTTACACATTTTCCAAGGTGCTCTGAGCGAAAATTCTGTCCGCACAGATGCCGTACGTGAATGTCAAAATTGCTGTAATGTTGCTGAGTGGACCTCGCAGACATGTCAAGCATAAACCAAGCTTAAGGTGGCCAACGTTTCTGATTGGCAGCTTCTGATTGGTGGTGACGTGAACCAGCAGAGAGACTTTTTACAATACAACTCAAAATGTATGAGATTTACAGAGCTTTGAGGAACATCTGGTGGCATTAGGAACAACTTAAAATAATGTTGGGTGTTGAAGAAAGGACCCAGACATAAACAATCAGATATAATTTGGATTGTAATAAATTGAAATTAAACAAACAGAATATGGATTGATCTGAATTCCTTGTAACCGGATATGGACCAGACTGGTAGAGTGCTTTGAGGTGACATTTGTTGTAAATCAGCCCTCTGTAAATAAACTGAACTGAATTTTATTGAACAACCTCTGGTCTCAGACGCACGCTTCAGGGACCCAACAGAAGGCTATTGTTAAACTGTAAACAAGAGGTATTTTGATTGTAACCTTGATTATAATGATCATCTATGTTTATCTTTAATGAGTCAAATGTGTTTTTATGTTTTTTTCCATTAAAAATATAAACTGCATAATTATCTGCACACTTTCTTGTTTCTCTTTGATTAGGGAGCAACTTTTGTAGTGATAAGCATATGGCCTTGCCTTCCTGAGAGGTTTGGTCTTCAGTGAACTTAACAAAAATAAGCTTTCTTCACACACACACACACACCTGGCTTAGAGGCAAAAACCACATACATGAACACCTGGTGCTCTGAGAGAAAACGCTGAGGAGTTTCATGTTTCCTTTTGCAACCAAAGTCATTTGTCAGGCTTTTGTTAGGGGATGGTGCTCTCTGCATATACTCTTTGTGACTATGTGGGGATCAAAAATACCAAGAAATATTTTTTAACATGAGAAGCAGAAAACAAACTCTAAAAGACTAGAAACAATCAGGAATAAACAACAACAAAAAAAGGTTTTTAAAAAGGCAGAGTGGTAGAAACTGATTCGCACAGATTTATACAACTTCCACTGCAACATTATCTAAAAATATATTTAACAAAGTATCAGGGAAAGCTCTATACATTACTGTTTGTTTTACATTTTTCTCCTAGAATACACTGATAAAATGTTGAATTATTACTCTTTATCTTGTGTAGAGATTTATGGTTTGTGTGTTAGGATGAATGACTCTTTAAATTGAAAATATAAAAAAAAAGGAATTTCACCATACTTTCATAAAAATAGTTTTGAACATCTAGTTTGATTTATGAGGGTGCTTTGAGGAAGGTCAACATATTTATCTCTTTTGCTAAAGGGAATTATGCAGGGATTGACATATTTACACAAAATAAATCAAAGGGATGTTTTAAGCATAGCTGTGACTCAAGATTTGGACTAACCACCAGAACTTGATGTCAGAAAAGCTGAAGAAACTTAAAAAACAAACGGTGAATGTAGGATATAAAATCTACAATAAACTTAAAGATCTTGATCTTAGTGGATTCATCTTGTCATTATTAACAAAAACAAATTTTTTCAGCCAAGTAGGCTTAGATTTTATCTTCCAAACTTCTGTACTTTCTGAGACTGTAGAGAAAAGTAAAAAAGCAAACTGATGAAGTCATCATTTCAGTGTTTAGAGAGGGAACTCCCTTACAGAGAACTCTGCACACCCCCACCCAGCCTAAAAGCACACACCAAGTATGTGTAAAGGCTCACACACACACACACACACACACACACAAGTGAGGAAATGGAAAACCGATCTGCTCAGAGCCACCCTTGGTGTCGTCAAGGCAACAGAACCAGCTGGAATACTGTTTGTTATCACAAAAGAGCCAAAATATCTAAACTCCAGAAATCAGGCTTCTTTATTTTGTGTAAAGTTAGAAGCTTAATGCATGCATTACAGCTCCTCTTTTCATGCAATGATATGCGCCCTCACCTAAACATCTGCGTCCAGACGCAGAAAGCTTGAAACCATCGGGGCACTGACAGGAGAAGCTTCCCTCGGTGTTGGAGCAGGTTCCAAACGTGCAGATCTCCGGAGACTGGGAGCACTCATCGATGTCTGACAAAAGACAAAGAATACCACCAGGCACGGTGTTTACAATCTAAATATTTTCTGAATTGATAAAAAGTTGAATCTGACAAAATATTTAGACCCACAATCATTTTGTATAGTCTGAAACTGTTTTCGAAAATGTAATTTTATTCAAATTGATATCAATTTTACCTCAAATTTATTTATTGTTTTTGTTTTAAGCTGGAATCACTTTTATTTAAAAACTGAAGAACCAAAACTAAGAAAAACAACTTTAATAAGGAATATAACAGAAATGAATACCTTTCAAAATAGCTTCAATAAATAATGGTCTTGGAATGATGTGTTTCTAGTCAAAATGAATTTCTGATTCTGCTGCAGAGAACTCATTGCAGTTCCTCCCTGCTTCCAAGAACAGGGCCAGAAGCAGGAATGTGTTGAGGTCTGTTGTATATCCTTTAATCAAACCCGCTGCATAAACACTCCAAGTGTTCTGACTCAGGCCTGCTCAGCAGCGACTTTTTCCCCTCTCAGCACAGCTTGTCTGAGATCACGTTTGTCCATGTGTAAATCGACGCAATCAGATTTACAGCTCTATTTGTTTACTTTTTAATAATTTATAAATTCCTGCTGTCATTTGAACATAATGGCCCTATGAACCTACTGTACCTTCACACGTTTCCTCATGGAGATAGTAGCCAGGCGGGCAAATGCACCTGTAGGTGCCGTCCATATTCAGGCAGGTTCCTGCTCCACAGGTGCCTGGATTTACTGCACATTCATTGATGTCTGAGGAAAAATAGGACATTTAGAAAAAAAAATTGTGAAGCAAACAGGAGTTATAGTTTGAAACAGAACAAAGCAAAGATTACCTGTGCAGAGTCGGCCATCTAATGTAAGCTCATAGCCATCATTGCAAACACACAGGAAGCTTCCCACAGTGTTTATGCACTGGCCGTTGCGACACAGACCTCTCTGCGTGGAGCATTCATCGATGTCTGATCAAAACAAAAGGGCATCAGTGAATGCAACGTCTCTCTGATATCCTGTTATTCCTACTCAGGTGAACCACCAGTGCACACCTATGCAGTCGCCGTTGTGCGAGTTCTGAAATCCAGGGTAGCACAGACAGTTGTAGGAGCCCACAGTGTTCTTGCAGGTCCCGTTGCCACAGGGCTGCCTCTCACACTCATCCATGTCTGAAACAGTTTCATTATAGAGCTTGTTCACATTTCTCATCTGAATCCAAATCAGAACAAGAAAAAAATACAATCTAAAAAGAAACCCATACCGACACACATTGACTGGTCCCGGGTTGTTTTATATCCATTGTGGCAGATGCAACGATAGCTTCCCAGAGTGTCAATGCACTGACCAGGATTACATATGCCTGGGTTCTCCATGCACTCGTTACGATCTGAAAATAGTAAATGGCATGTGTAAAACACTGTAATAAATTGGGGGTTTAGTAGGAAATAAGCTCTTATTTTATTTGTATTCTTAAACACAAAGCAAACTTTAGATTGGGGAGGTACGCCTGGCAAAATGTAGGAAAGCCCTAAAATAGGCTTTTTTATTGCTATGAAAGAATTTTCTGACCCATCAAGAAAGATCTTTCAGAAAAAAAAGAAGCTAGAATTAGTGGCATCCTAAGAAAGCCCATAAAATAAATGTTAAGGAAACATTTCTTTTACCTGTTCTTCACTTTTCAATTGTATTGTTTAATCTTTATTCAGTAAGACATGTCTTCCTATTTCCCAGGGAATAAATGTGAATCGAATTGTAATTAGGGTCAGTTTGCCACTCTTCAAAATGGGAAAGCTAAGAGAACAACCTAAGAAATCTAATATTCCTGTAAAAAAAAAAAGCAGCGATAAAAGCCATTTACTCATTTTAGCAGTAAAAATCAATGTGTAAAAAAAAAAAAAAAACTGTAACTGTGATAAAAAAGGTTATCAGGATGGTGAGGTTTAAGAATAGATTCCAAGTATTCACTTTCAGTACACCATGAGACATTTTGAGTGTTATTATGCAAATATGGATAGAAGCTGAATTTATTTCAAGGTTTTATTTGCCCCTAAGTATACACTTAAAATTACTGAGCATAAAAATCAAGGTTGATTAAAACTACGGAGACCGTTTTAACTGCCGTTAACACAAAACCCAAGACAAATAAACATTTAGCATTCTGACTTTAAAGCTTTTATCACAGGTCTGTTTTTAGTTTTTTTTTCGCTTGGGAAACTCATGAAAAGCAGGAAGCAAAACAGGGTGTTGATTTAACATTCCCTTATCACCCTGACAGCAACACGCTTCAGATATGCTAAAGCACATGTTCACCAGCTCAACACATGCTTCACATTCTCTCCTCCTTAATATCAAGCCCACCATGAAAAATTCTTGCTTGGCCTCAAATGTCGCTCAGCTGCCTCTGCTGCTTTAACTTTGGCTTATCACACACAGGAAAATAAATTTCCAAAAGAAAGACAAGATAACTTAACAAAAAGAGACATAACTCAGCCTCTACTTTATCTCACTATGGAAAATGCGCTTTTGGCAACTTCAGAAGATAGGGAAAATATAAGTATCTGAAACAAATCAAATGTTAAAGGATGGAGACACATGTTCTAAAGTTTCTTAGGTCAAAATGGTTTGATTTGATATTTACATGCCATGCTTGCTTGACATATTATTTCATTCATTTGAGCAGGACACATGGTCCAAAGGTTAAACGCAGTATCTTGTTGATGCATTAGTATGGAGTATGGACTACCCAAAGCAAGCGCTCTAAAACTATAGTAGTCTGGATTCTGTCTAGGCTGCCTTTTGTCTCTGCTAAATATATATGGCATCAAATTTATTTCAAAACGCCCACGAGAAAAATTTACATAGTCGCATGTATGTTAAACTACTTCTTTACATGGTTTATCTACCAACGCACGACAAAATCACACATGCACGAGAAACTGCCGCTTTGAGAGGAAATAATCAAACTCCCCGCACGCCACTTCCTCCCACGCACACTCCGCAGAATCGTGCTCAGGATCTCATTGCACACCTAATTTTCTATCCAGTGGCCACGGTCAAGGATGAATGCGCTCTCGAAAGTGTCTCTTCCCTCGGACTGATTTTCTCCTGGTGCAAAGGAAAATGTGTTTTGACACATTTTCCTCCTGATTGGGCCTTGCAGACACAATCACACGGGAAGCAGTGTCACGAAGCCTTTGACTGAGACTTACCACTTAAGGGCTGGTTATACTCCCAAAGCAGTGTTTCACAGTGAGCTTGTTGCAGATATTTTTGATTTATGCCCAATTTTCAAGCGTGGTCTCCGCTATGTTATTCCACGCCACAACGCAAGAGGGACAATCACGAACTAGCTGTGGGTCTAGATATAGTCTAGGCGGTGAAGAAGTGGGGGCAAGTTTGTGCATCAACGGAGGGACATGAGGGCGAAAAAGAGTGGGGATCCAGGTGGAAAAAGGGTCCCAGCGTTCTCGCGCATCTTGCTCTTCTAGTTGGTACATCTTCATGAGTCGTTTTCCAAAATGGCAGTCAAACAAACAAAATAAGATCGTAAGGTACCAAACAGGAAATACGCATAGTGTAGAGCGGATGTAGATTTGACCAATCAGAGGCCTCCTGTCTACAGCACTGTCTGCGGTCACCTACAATTTTGGACTAGATGTCTGCAGAAGGGCCAGGGGCATGTCTGCGTTCACTGCGACACACATGCAGACGACCTGGTTTCTGAGCATAAATCAGTCTTTACCCCACGTACCACAAACATTGGAAAAGCCTCCGCCGCTGCCCCACCTCTAGTGGTCAACTTCATTTATGGATTACGAGCTGTCAGTCAAAGGCTTCCTGCCCAACCTGTCAAAAACCAAATTTTCCTTCGCACAAGGAGAAAATCAGTCCGTGGGCAAAGATGCTTTCCAGAGTGCAGCCGCCCTCGAGTGTGGCTGCTGGATAGAAAATCGTGCGCACTGTGAGAGCCCGAGCACGATCCGAAAGCATGTGGGAGGAGCTGGTGTGTGCGGAGAGCGATTTTCTCCTCTCGAATCTGCAGTTTCTCCTGCATGTACGATTTTGTCCTGCGGTGGTAGATAGACCATGTGCAGAAGTAGTTTAAAATACATGCAGGTATGTCTATTTTGCTCACGGGTGTTTTGAAATAAATGTGATGCCATAAATTTACCTGAATAGTATGAAGTGACAAACCATTGGTCAACCAACACAATCAAAATATCAGTTTGTAGAATAGAGATATTTCTTATAATTATAGAAAAATTTGCATTTCAGTTAACCCTTTGAAACCTAACGTGTCGCCCGCGACACATTTCACAAACCAACTTCAACTTACCGTAACTCTGCAACGGTTTGCGCTATCAGAAAAATTCAAACTGTCTTTGAAAGAAAATAAATTGCACTTTCAGACCTGCATAGTGTTATTACGGTAATTAACTTCCCGCCGCTCCAGGATGCCCGCGAATGCTAGTCTGTGTCTCCCTCTGCTGCACGGACGAAGAGTGCAGAGTGAGGAGGAAAAGATGAGCGACAGAGCGGAGAGTCAGAGTGAAGCGCATGATAATATGAGTAAAAAACGTCCTTCAAGAGATAAAAAGAGACCGAGGAGATTCCTGGATGGTTTTGTGTTTGAAAAAGGAGATCCAGTTTTTTCTTCTGAAGAAAGGTAATGTTTGATCATTGAATAACTTTTTGAATTTTATTTCTGAATGAATGGGGCTTGTTACTTCATGGATAATAGCTTTTACTTGGTACACATAATTGGATGTATTTATAGATTTATTTTCTATTTTATTTTGTTTTTGGAATAGTTTAGAGAGTATAAAAAAATAAATAATAAAAAAAAAGAGTATAAGTTATTATAATATTCATCATTATGTACTTTGTGTAAAAGTGCACTTTTGCTCACTATATATGACACTCCTAAGTACAGCACCACACTCTTCATGTATTCATGTGTAGCTTACTATGACTTTTTTTATTGCTTAGTGTGGATTTGAGACCAACTTTATTTATTTACTACTATAAATAAAAGCTCATCAATAAAATCATCCAAGGTGGAAGACCCACGAAGAGCCTTATGAGAAAGGCTTTCAACCCCTAAGGTTCTTCCCCAAAAGAATCCCTGGTGTTCAACCCCCTCTAAATGTAGGAAATCCACAACCAGTACTTTTTTTGAGTACTTTTTTGACAATGAAGTCCTCACATTAGTTTGTGATTTTACAAACAAGGGGGCAGCCAGGAACCTGGAGAAAGGGAGGAAGTTCTCCTGGACTGAAATGCAGAGAGGGGAAAATCGCCTGTAAATAGTTTTAATTGTTAGTCTGTTTCTTATTTGTAAAAATAATTGAGAATGAAAAAAATATTGTAAATATGTTCTATAGTGTTGAAATTGTCAATTTGTGATGCAAAATCTGTACTTCATGTTCAAATGCAGTGTTTTATTTGCATAAAATCTCCAAAATCTAATTTCGATTTTTGTTTTTTCTTGATATCAAACAGTTTTAATAGTGGTTTAGTATCAAGAATAATGTAAAATAATGCATTTATTGAAAGCTCTAAATGATTCTGGAAAAATGTGCTGAAGCACTTGGCCACAGGACTTTTTCTTCCTACTTTTTACTTTAAACAAGTAAAAAAATGCCAGGCGGACTTTTGAGTGACAGGCCTAAAAGGGTTAAGTCAGTAAGTATCTCAATGTGGTAAAAAAAAAAAAAATAGTGGGAAATTAATTAAGCAATCTAAATGTTTGAAATCCTGAAGCAATGGTGATTTAGATTTTAAGAGTAAGACTGGAATCAAAAAACAGCGCTTTTTTTCCAAGCAGCAGTATTAAATCTGAGATTTGAGTATTTTGACTACTCAACTGGCTATTTAAGCGTTAGCCTCCCAAAAAAGACATTTAAAGCCATGCAGCCTTACCCATACATTGTCCAGTGGGGGTTAAGCGATACCCAGGTTTACAATCGCAGCGGAAGCTTCCAGGCACATTCAAGCAGTCTGCGTTCTGCTGGCACACCGGTCCATTCTGACACTCATCAATATCTGGCATCCGTAAAGAGAGAATATTTATACAGATTAAAGAGTCTAGATTAACTGATGAATTTGGCTTGGTTTGTTTCTAGCACTGCAGCGTTTCTCAGAACAATGTAAACATTACCTTCACAAATCAGCAGCTTGTCGTTGTAGACGAAGCCAACGGGGCACTCGCATCTGAAGCTGCCAATCATGTTGATGCAGACTCCGTTCTCACACACGCCTGGGATTTCCCTGCACTCATCGATATCTGTTACATGACATCAGGGCGAGGTTGGTTTAAAAAGTAACTTTCTATAAACCTGTGTTAGAATTGTAAAATCTTACCAATAACCCGCCCAGTAGTGATGTCTATATAATATCCTGGCCTCTCACTGCCGCAGAGGATCCCAAACTCAGCTGAGGGGACAGAGGATTTATTAAATAGAGCTGTTTTTATAGTACGGGAATAAATGCTGGCATCAGAGCTCACCAGTGCTGGGAACAGGGCATTGTTCACATGGTTTATTCCAAGCACGGCCAATGTTATAGGAGCAGCAGCACATCTTTTTCGTCATGTTAAAGGTCAGCTCTCCATCACATGTCCTGTTGTCTGAGTAAAAGTTCCTGTAGCAGTAGCTCTTTCTCATATCTTCGAGCGAGCATGGGGAGATAAGAGAGAACGTAAACGTGTGAACCATAGGGGAAAAGCGTTTTGCTCATCCTGGGGAGCGAACAGACTCACCCATGCAGTTGTGACCACCGTTGACCTGCATGTAGTCCGCAGGGCAGATGCAGGTGTAGTTTCCGATTGTGTTGTAGCACTGGCCGGGGCCGCAGATTCCCGTCTGTTCGCACTCATCGATATCTTTACGGGAAACACAGAGGAGATTTGTTAACACATCTGGTTTAACTTGTTGAAATGTATAAAAGATAATCAATAAAGAAATATGCAGAATCAATAACAATGTGTTTTGTTTTTTTTTTATTTAAAGATTTTTGCAGCAGCAATATTTATGAAAGTTTTAAAACTACATTTAGGATGACAAACAATTAATAAGATTAATCGTGATTAATTAACTAAACTAATTTAGTAATCAATTAATCGTTAACTGGAGAATAGAGACTGTAAAACATGCCTTTAGCTGACAGAGTAACCCAATTAGAGCAGCAATTATATCAAACTTGTACAAAAAATATATAAAGGTTTTGCATTTCAGAAAAAAAAACATTTTCCTCAGTCAATCTGCTCTATCCAGAACTCCTCAAGTGAAAAAGTTTTAGTTTCACCTGGTTTAATTGCATAAAAAAAAACTCCTTTAAAGAACGTTTGGCTGTTCGATTATTAATCGTCTAACAAACGTATAACAAAAAAATAGACGTACACATACCGGTAACCATCTATATAGATTTTTATATGTTTTTGACTGCCATGTTTTTAAAAATATTTAAAAGCAGTCAAATCAGATTGAAAAATCATGTAAAAAAAAATCCCTTCATGAATACAAGGGACAATGTGTCTGAAATTACGTCCAGATGCTTCTTGACTCTTCCATTTAACTTGTTCACTCTGTGTTTGTTAGTATTTAGAATCTATAATATATCAACATTAAGAAACAAAACCCTAATTCTGCAAATGCTATCTCCTCGGTGCAAAAGCAAATGATTTTTCCTTAAAGGAATAACTGGTAAAACTACCAATCAGCAACTGAGAAGCAAGACTAAATGCTAATAATTCAAATTGAATATGAATTTGTTTACTTATTGTGACTAGGAGGCCTATTCGGCTAGCATCATTTCTCAATCAACATTATTGCGGTCATTTCATTTCAAGGAAAACAAATAAACTAATAACTATTTTTTTTTTTTTTGAGATTGAGAAGATGAACAAACTCACATAAAAATGTCAGTCACCAGTCACATGTGATTCAATCCAAGGTTTCCTCCTTTACCCTCTGGGCCAATTGCTGTTTTCTAAACACCCTTTTTGTTTGTTCTTTTCCCTCCATCTCACATTCCTCCCTTTTTCTCTCATTTTTGGCCAGCCTGACACTGACTGTACCTCCCTGAAGAGAGGGTTGACCATATCAGAGTCTTACCCCTCCTCTAAACGAAGGAACAAATTCAGCTGCTGCTTTATCCTCCTCGCCAAGAACTAATGAGTTCACAGACAGGAGAAAAAAAAAGACGCATTCTCGGATAGATTCTTCTGCTTCGGGACCACATGCACTGCAAAAAATTTAAAGTCATAGGGAAACGGCTTTTCCAACCATTGCATTTCCGAATAAAGTGAATGTGATTGGTCATTTATCAAGGGGGGCGGGATTGTTGGGGCGGAAGGTTCACAAGCAAGTTTGATTGTAGCCGGTTTGTCGGAAGCATTTTGCTAACCAATTAGCAACTTAGTGCTAGTAGGTTCCCAATGGGAAATTACATTGGGACCAAGTAGCACTAAATTGGTGACGTAGAAACTACACTGTCAAGGAACGCTATGGACAGCAGAAACATGCAAGAGGAGAGTTTTGTGTCGGAGGTCGTGGATGAGTCTCCTCCATCATTTATGTTTTATTGAAGAGGAGCCAGGGCGACAGAAGCTTGGTTTGGTGTAGAAGGCTTACAGCCGTACATGTTTGAATCCTTGCCTCACAACGCTGCCAGTTCTGTTAGCTCTACGCCTGCTGAAGACACAGACGTCCATCCCCATGAACACTGGGACGGAACTCAATGGAAAAGTAAATGGTTATTATTTCTTATTTCAACCGTTGCATGTATTAGCTGCGACATATGAATACAGATGACTATTGGTATATGATTGGCCGAATTTTGGTTTTTTAGGTTGACATATAATTAACTGGCCTGCATAAAATAACGGAGAAAAAACAACATCGATTTTAAGACAGGATTTTTTTTAAATAGAAATTTTGGGACAATATTGTCTGATAAAGAGTACAATTATATACATGTTTAAGCCAGAATGATTTGACATTTAAATATGATTTCCCTATGACTAAATAAGTGATTTTTTTTTTCTTAAATGAGTGCATTGTTTATTGAATTAATGAGGTAAGTAAGACAGTTTGCCAATGGAACAAGACAATATACATTTAAAGAAAGACAAAAAAAAACAATTGCATTGTCTTATTTCAAGTGCATATTATCTAATCCTAGTATTTTAGTATAAATACTCATTCCATTGGGAAACCATCTTATTTACCTACTCAAATGAAGAGTATTTATGAAAGCTTTATGTATTTCTAGATGGTTTTAGCAGTGTGTTCTTTCTCATTTGGCTGCTCTCCATGATTGGCTTCATTTTTTTCCCCAAAAAGGAGTATTAGACCAATAAAGTGAGAGTGATAGATCAGCTGTCTGTGAGTGTTCCCTGCCTGTGAGGGTGGGTACATGTAGGTGCACACGTTTCATACCTTCGCAGACTCTGGTTTCCAAGTTCAATGCAAAACCTCTTGGACATTCACACTGGAAACTGCCAAATGTGTTGATGCAAGTACCCCCCTGACACAGACCAGGCAGTTCTTTACATTCATTGATGTCTGCAAAAGAAAAAGCAGGAAATATTGAGTGGAAGTCTGTGTAGCTGTGGGCTTGAAGACAAATGACAATATCTTTTCATCTAACCTTCTAGGATGACTGTGATAGGGTTTGGTCTGAAGCCTTCTCCTCCAGGACACAGCGTCTTGTACTCACCTGCAACATATAAACCCAAAAACAATAAACACCAATGCCTTTTGCTTCATTCCAGGATTTGTAATGAACAGTTGCCTGAGACTAGGTAAAATAAAGGAAGCTTTTTTCTAAATCGCACGTCTAAGATCTGCCAGTGATCATTGGAGTCTGGCGCACGGGACATGACTGCAACTTCTCAGAGATAACTTTCTGTTCTTGTCCCAGCAGTGAGCGTTTCCTCAAGCTGAAAGGGATGAGTCACTGCCTGCATTGTTTTGAACCATCTGGTGGTAATTTCCATGTTAGAAGGACAAGCCTGTCTCATCTTTACCAGCAGCAACAATTACAGCAAATCTTCATCGCACGGCATGAAAACATCTAACTCAGAAAAAGAAAAAATGACTGAACTATGGAGTAAGCAGCTATAAAAACATACAAGTTCTTTTAAATCAGACTGCTAAAATGTCCTCAAACACAACATTTTATGTATAACAATCAGTACAAAATGCCTACAAAGATTAAACAAAACTCTGTTTCCCCTAAATAAAGCACAAAGAAAAAGGTTTCCCACAGGTTTTCCATTTTCATCAATTGGTGTTTAAGATGCTTTTTTATCATTTAAACATCTGAGTTCAAACCATTTATGTTTTTGGGCTCATCTGAACATTCATCATACTTAAAGCAATAGAACTAATGAGTTGGCTTCTGATCCAGCACTGTGGGCTATCTCACAATTTATTTCAAGTCAACTTCGGTACCAACTATTAAAAAGTCAATAAAACAGCCTAGAATAGACAGTCAATATATTTCAAAGCAGCTAAATTTTTCTTTCTTGTAAGCAAAGAGAACTGTGACATTCTTTCAGCCAGCTGACCAGCACTGTGCAGCAACAGGTAGAAAGTGGGGTGCCATGTTATTTTATGCTCTATACAGACAGAGATCAAACTCTGGTCATCATGGTACCCTCTAAAACAAAATATGGGGCAAGTATTATCTTCTATAGCACTTCAGGGATGATAAATATTGTTCTGGAAAATAAAGGGGACAATTTTTTCTCATATCTGAATATTTTTCTCCAGGTAATAAAAAAAGGAAACACAAAAAACAGCTGATAGGTGCCATACAGCTTGGTCTCATGTCTTTACGTCTGTACGAAGTGTTGACTCACTTGAATTTGCAGGCGGGCATAATTCACATGGACTACCCCAGCCCTGGCCGTCGGAGCAGCAGCAGGATGCCTTGGAAACTCCAACTCCAATCTCATTGGAGCAGTCCAAACTCTCAGATGCGTCTCCTCGGGAACGAACATCCCGGTAGCAGACTCCCGTACGAGTGTCTGCCCATACACATATAAACACACACATTTAGGAACATTGCTACATTTCAATCCAGGCCGACATGAAAACCAATACCACTGATCTGTAGCGACAATGTGTTGAGTCTCACCTACACAGCCCACCCGAGTGGGGTTCAGCTCAAAGTCAGGTGGGCAGTTACAGATGTAGCTTCCAAAGGTATTAACGCAGATTCCACTCAAACAAATAGCCCGATCTGCACATTCATTAATATCTAAGAGGGAAACAGATAAATATTAATAAAACACATGGATTCGTCCTAATCTTGCTAATTAAGGTTAATATTTCAATGTGTCTTGCCTGTACAGTTAACTCCACTCCTGTCCAGCTCAAAGCCAATGTTGCACTGACATCTAAATAGTCCTGGCATATTCTGGCAGCGTCCATTGATACAGATGTCCTCAAAGGTACATTCATCTATGTCTGTGAGAGAAAGAAAGACAGAGATGAACTCAGCAGTGAGGAATTTATACCTCATTTTTATACCTGCTATGTGTACCAATTTATACCTGTATCATTTAATTGTGAATGATTTTTGATTTATGTATCCCTCTAAAACCACTTGAATGACTCAAAGCTTAATTATCAACAGATATTGTCTAGTTAAATAAAAGTCTTTGGCTAAAAACATGTGTAAAGCAGATGGACAGTATGCCTTAATCATGTTTATAATAATAAAATTCATCCATCTTTTTTAGAAATTGCCTGATTGGTGCTGATATACTGTTTCAGATTAAGAAAGGCTGGTAGCAATAAAATGCTTCAAAGATCCAGAGAAATGGGTCATCCCTTTTAATTAAAACACTTGACTGCCTTATAGTTAAGAGTTTAAAGACTTTAGGTGCTGTCACTTGTTTTTTTTATTTAAGTGGGTCTTAAGGTGAAGATTTCATTTTTAAGGAAAGTCCAGTCCTGTCATGTTGTGTGTGTTTGTGGGGTTGCGTGTGTGTACTTGTTTATGTAACCTATTTAGGATGGTTTTTGGTATATTTGCTGACTTTCTGAGGACCAACAGGCCTTATGGTGACCAAAGGCTGCTCCTAATGTGGCAGACCCCCATTTTTCACGGTTAGGGTGTGAATGAACTTTAGGTTAGGGTTAGGTAACTAACATGAATGCAATGTAAAGTCTCAATATGGATAGAAATACAAATGTGTGTGTGTGTGTCTGTGTGTGTGTGTGTGTGTGTGTGTGTGTGTGTGTGTGTGTGTGTGTGTGTGTGTGTGTGTGTGTGTGTGTGTGTGTGTGTGTGTGCTGCTCTAAAAACTGTGTGTAAATTGGAACCATGGGTTCTTTTTCATTTTTCATGCATTTAATTTTTTAGAATCTACCCGACTTCTAGAAATAATATTTGAAAACTCCTTGGTTGCCACAAAGAGGTCGGTTAATTTAAAAAAAATTTGCAATTTGAAATACATGATCCTGTCAGTTTAGTTTCATTTTAAGCGCAAACAATATCAAGGTAAGAGGATTTTTTGAGTAGCATACGCAGATCAAATATTTTCTTGGGTAATAACTGCTATATATGAGTCAGACACTAGTCAAGTTTTCTAGCAGTATAAGACTGTATGTGTGTAAAAACTACTGCATACATGGTGTGTGAGAATGGTGGGGCTAATTAGGTAGACATTTTTTAGCCAAATTCTGGATAATTTGGTAATCAAACTGTGTAAACTACATGTCAAATGTTTTGTAAATCGATTTAGGATCATTAATTTCTATCACGAGTTCCAAATATGGTAAAATAAAACAAGAATCACATCGCAGACAGCACTTTGATGGAAGTATTACAAATCACCCCTCTGAAAATAGACTCTGGTTTGAAAATGATGAAAAAGCTGCAAAAGAGTCCCTGGAAACTGAAATAAATAAATAAATCTACATAAGATTTAGAAAAAAAGCATGTCTAATTTGGAATCCAGGAAAAAAAAGTTTAAAAGAAAATTACATTGATGTATAATTAACATAAAACAGACATTGCAGTTTGATAGAATTTTTTTATCTTTACATGGTAAAAATGTGAAAACATCTTTCACAGTTTATCGATAAGTTATGATAGGACTTTTCCATGATCAAAGTGATCTTTTCCCAGCACTGAGTTCGATGCTGAGACACCAAATCATCCATATTTCAAAACGTAATGAGGCAAGATGCACTTCTGTCACTCCCAAATAAACTAAAACCACTTTGATACTAAACACATTGCGTACTTTCTTTATCCAAAACATTGTCTCAAGGGTTATTTGAAGGCACTGTCTATATTTGAACCAGCTGTTGCTCTTAACAGAAGAACAAACAGAGATTGACAGGAGTGAACGCAGGACGTTTAGAGTATTTATCACAGATCTGGACACACATTCAGTGGTCCTGGCACCAGAACAGCAATATTTAGCAACGTCTTACCCTCACAGGCCTTCCCATCAGCAGTGGCAATAAAACCCATGTCGCAATCACATCGATAGCCTCCGGGGAGATTCAGGCAGTGGCCACTTTCACAAAGGTTGCTGTTCTCTGCACACTCATCGCTGTCTGCAGAGGTGATCAGACACATTGTATCGTTATAGGCTTTTATAAAGAAAGAAAATATACATAATTTGTTTTGCTTTCAAGACCTGAGCAGTAGAATCCATCTCCTGAGAAGCCCTCCTTGCACGCGCAGCGATATGAGCCCATGGTGTTGAGACAGTCGGCATTGCTGTTGCACATGTGTGTCCCATTTGAGCACTCATCCAGATCTAAAGCAATGCAAGTTATAATAAAACTTTTACATATAATTTTGTTGAAATCTCAAGTTCTTATAACCTTTTTGTTTTCTATGAAATATGCAATATGTCCATCAATAATTAAGCTGATATGTTTAGTGTCTCTAATTATTAATTAATTATTTTCATGTTTTATTACCTTCTAGGCCTCATCTATACAAAAATAAACAAATAAAAGTGCAAACTATTATTTTTTTATTCTCAAATGAAGCTTACGCAAAAATTCAATGTGGAAGATTCTTATCAGCTAAACCTGAACCCCCTATGATGACTCTCATCAGCTTCCACTAACAAACTTGGGGTCCACACCTTCTCCGAAACCAATTATCTTGCTATATCCCCTTCATTTAGCTTCCTAGCTCCCGGCTGAGCTTTTCTCTCCCACACACAAGCCACTTTCCTCCACCTTACTCACCCTCTGGCTTATTCCACCACCAGTGTCGGGCCCTGGGGGAAGACTACTCTAATACTTTTCCAGGTTACTCATCCAAGTAAATATTGATCCACAGCATTGAAGTCTCCTGCCGAGGTCCAAGCGTCAAAGAACTTATTTTATTTATGATATTATCTGCATCATTCTCCTTGAACCCCAATCGGCCTCAGCACATGGCAGCTCACACTGAACCTGGTTCTGCTGGAGGTTTCTTCCTGTTAACAAGGAGTTTTCCCCTCTACTGTCACTTCATATATGCTCACTCTCAGGGATTGCAGAGAGCCAGTGAGTTCTCGAAATCAGCTGGTTTTCCTTAGATAAAAACGTACCTGTGTAAAATTCTGAGTCCTCCAGGTCATGACCACCACAAACAGGCTTAAATTAGAAGGCAAGCGGACTTTCGCTCAAATTATGATTAAAAAGACCAATCACATAGTCAATGCACAACAACGACCTTCAACAAACCTTTAGAACAAAGGGTGGCTATTTGATTAACATCTGACTTGGAATGTGCTCAGGAGGTCGGTCATCCATGCTGCTTAAATACATCAGTGCTTCAACTAGAGTTTGCTCTGATGCTAGGCAACAGAATTGATAAAGACTCCTGAATAGGTGTGCAAACTTATTCAAATAAAACTGAGCAAAATTCCGGTTGCCTTCCAATTTAAGCCTGTTTGTGTTTGCTTAGATAGAAATATTCTGAACAATCTGAGCTGTGCTACCTGTATAAATAAACTGAATTCTAATTGCAACTTTTCTCTGTGTGAGTCTCTTCAGGTTGAAATAATTATACCTGGTGCATATACATAAGCATTTTAATCAGTCAAAACATTAGTTTAAACTACATTTCTTTCTCTAATTGAGTCCGGAAACTTGAGCTCTCATTTTACAACAATGCTGTACTGACATGATAACATATTTCCAGTGATTATTTCTGTTGACTAATGGTTCACTAAAAATAAAAACCGACATATTAGTTTCTAATGGAATTTAAATATTTTTAAAAAATATCAGGAGAAGAAAGGGGTCCATTTGAGTGCTCCAGTGGAATAATTTTGATTCTCTTTTACTCATCTTTTCCAGGGAGTTTGATTCTCAAATGAAATGTAGGTTTACTTTAATCTGAAAAGGCACTGGAGCACTGGAAAGCAGTCCACTTTTTTAACGCTGTATCTGGCTAATAGGGACTAAGAACTACTCCCGTGGAGTGCAACTCTGTAGCTGTATTACCATATTTGTCCGTGGACTTTTCTACAAGTTTTTCCTTCCACTCAACTTTCCATTAATGTACTTGGATAGCATGCTGAGAACAGCCAGCTTCTTCAGCAATATCAAGCTTTCTTGTCCTTGGCTGTATAACCCCTGATTGTGTAGATCATACATCCTTCATTTTTCTATGTAATGATCAAACTTTTAGATAAAATTGTGTTTTAATTCTATTAGCTGAAAGCCAGTCATCACATCTAACAGAATTAAACTTTGTAATATATAATTTGAGTAAATGTTATGAGTTTTACTTCTTATTAAATCACATTGATAACACTTTTTGATGATATTATAATTTAGAATACAATACAATATCCCTTTATTGTCCCAAAATGGGGAAATTACAGCAGCAAAAAGATTATAGAAAATATGGTCACACAAATATGGACCTTAGTAAAATAAGAAAAGGAATAACATAATAATGAAGAGTTAAAAGAAAAACAATAAAATACTGTACTTACTGAGATACATAAAACATAAAAGTAGTTAATAAAAAATATCCTATTTAATTCAGTTACCTGTGCACTTTATGCCGTTCCCAATCCACCCTGGAGCACAGTTGCATTTGAAGCTGCCTGCTGTGTTGGTGCATGTCGCATGTCGGTCGCAGTTGTGGGCTCCAATCTCACACTCGTTGATATCTGATGAAAATAATACAAAGCCCAAGTAAATAAAAGAAGAACAAATCAAGTTCTGATGGTCTGCTGGTTTGAGTCTGCTTTCTTATTACTCTGGGGTTTTTGGCTCTCTAACCAAAGTTGATGCTTGGCTTGAACTGCATAGAGATGTGCGACAGAACTAAATCTTTACTGGCTCGCTGGTTTAATCTGATGAAAGCGCTATTTCAGGCCACAAAGACATTTTGGCTATCCTCTGATCCCCAATGGTAACAGCCATACTATATGAGGATTTAATGAGCTGGAAATTCATTGTTAAAGCATGTCCAGAAAGATATAAAAAGGGACATTTGGAAGAACGGTGCCCCGAGGCCTCGTGCTGTCTGCTCTCTCATCAACACTGGCTCAGTTGGTGCCCTGGATTCTATTAAAAAAACTCCCACTAAATAATGGAAACAATTACTTTTGACTCCTTTTAAATTGCACCCTTCCTATAAAGTTGGGTACATCCTGTAGAGTGCAGTCAATAAAGACCTCACTGCAGCCGCTTCTGGTGATAAGATCCCCTCAGTGTGTAACTCTTGCATCACAAGGGTCTCTCAGTGGAATACCTAAACAACTCTGTGGAAATAAAGCGCTATTTAAGGTGAAAAACAACAATAATGATTCTTAAACTGAGTCAAAACAACCTTGTGAAATGTGACCCAACACAATACCTGGCCTTCAGAATAAGGGAGCAAAGCTATGGCTTTAAAAGATGTGTGACCGAATGTCTTCTTGCATTTCAAAGCGATCAACGCTGTGAACTCAAACAAGATGTTAGAATTTAACAGCCAAAGAGACACGCTCCTCTCTCTGCCTGTCGGTCATTGAGAGGGTAGTAATTCAGAAACACTGTCAATTAGAGATTATAGCGCTGCTGGATTACATTCTTCCTGAGGACAGAGTATGGTATATTTACTCTACATTTGATCACGGAGTTAATATGAGGGTTGGCAACAAACAAATCTCTCTGGATTACAGATGGAATTAATGATCGTTTCCCTCCCTAGTCTTTGATGACAGAGAGAGCACGGCAGCACACACACACACCCTCCACACACACCCACACAAGCGAGAGGAACAAGCAAAGTGAAGCTAAACGATTGCAGCATGTGAAAAGTGTGTCAGCAGATGCAGATAGTGTGTCAGAAGTTATATTTAACCAGAATAATGTCTGACAGATGAAATGAATGAATGAAAAAGGGTGCTGGTAAATTATACTTTCTCCTTCCTTCCCGACTGGCTGTCACCCAGTTTGAATTACTGACCAATTATCTTCCTGTTATGTCTGTTTGCTATCTGTTTGCCACTTGGCTCAAATGACAAAGGTTTGCATATTTTACCACACTAACAACCGTTGGATTATTAATATTTCATAGCTATATGGAAACCCTTATGTAGCAGTATCCAGCTAAGGCCTGCTACGTAATAGTGTGGAATATAACCCCAAACTAACTCTGGAAACATAATGCTGCAGAAGAAGAAGACTGATATTAAAACTCCCAGAATCTGGTTAAAAAACACCCAAAACTAATTTTTTTTGAGAAGGTTCTCAATCATAAAATGAAATTTATTCAATCTTTAAATGTTAGAATTGCCGAAAAAACTAGTAATAAAGGTATGAAAAAACAGCTCCATGTCTGAAAACTAAAACATAATGTAAGGTTCCTCAAACCTTTTTTAACAACAGGTACCTGAATCCTCTATTAATATTTTATTCTTATAATCTACATTCTTCATTGCTTGTAAAGCTAATGTCCGTTTTATAACAAACTAGAACATGAGATACACGCAGGGCCAGGGCATATCAATTCTAAAACAAATGTCACTAAGTAAGTGTGTGTAACATTTATAGGTCTCCATAAAGTGATCCAACTATCTGAGAGGCGTCATCTTAAAGGCAGATGAAAACAGCAACCTTACTAACAGGGGCTTATATAGATAAATATAGGACCTGCATTTTAATGTATTAAATGGAGTGGATCCACATATCTTACTTTAGGGTAAACATTACAAAAACATAAAAGTGGTTGAATTTAAAGAGAATAATGAAAAGATTCAACCATCAGCTGGATCAAATTTGGGTTTTTCTTAACCTTTACACAAGTCAATGGAGGTTAGGGGATCTTTTCCACAGAGAGAAGTTGTTTTTTTTCTGCTTGTTGGTCCGACATCTTGCCTCGCTGCGAGGAATTAAAGTCATAATTCTCCAGTCTGGAGCTAAATTCCAGACGAGTGATTCAGACCCGACCCACTCAGCTGCAGCACCAGCTTTCTCAACACAGGAGAATACTATGTGGACATTTTAATGGGATTAGAAAAAGAGCCAGAGTGTGTGTCTCTGTTTGGAGGAACTCGAGTTTGAGAGTATATGGGACAGACGAAGTCCAAATTCTGACAAAAGTGTTTATTTGCGTCTTAAGTGAGACCTGCTGCTGCCTGACTGATTTTAAAGACAAGGCCAAAGAAAAAAAATATTCCTGACTTAACTTAGAACTAATTTTAATCACATACTAAGTGGCGTTATAAATCAGGCCTAATTCCTGGTGGACAGAAAGTAGCTCCAAACTAGCAACGGGGCACCCTTTGTATTTATGTTTTCTGGAGCCGTTACAGGTGATTACGTGGTGCTGAAGCGTTCCAACAATCATGTAATGTTTAACAGACCTTAATGAAAGACCAACACAGGAATAAACAAAGGTGCAATGTGATGCATGCATCTGATGCAAGATAGTGATCTCACTGCTTCTGTTACAGAGGGTGGCCTTGTGCTTTAACTCGTATGTGTTCAACTGCATGTTTCTCATCAAGTAAGACAGAAGCTTTTGAAGGAGAAAGGATGATGTTAGCATTGCTTCTACTTAGTCAGGAGACTCTCCCAGGATCCTGGTTTTCCCAGGTGTTTTCACTCACGCAATGCAACAAATAACCACACATGCACACTGCTCAATAAGTATCAGACATTTGATGATGTACAATCGTCCCTTTCATTGCGAGGCATTTTCCACTCACCTGTGCAACCAGTAGTACCCTTGCGTACGGAATATCCCAGATCGCAGTGACAAATGAACGAGCCTTTGGTGTTCTCGCAGTTTCCACTCAGACAGATGTTTGGGTTCAGCTCGCACTCATCCACATCTAGATGAGAGTGGGGGAAAAGTTACATGGAAGCAATGAAACATGTCAGTTTGTTAAACAAAACTACAAAAAAAAAAAGTTTAGTATGATTATTAAAAGCTTTTGCCGATAAAATTTGCTTTGAAAAACTGCAGCTGCATGTTTGCTGAAATACATGTCTTCATATAATGGGTAAGTTTTTGTTTTCTCACACAGCGAAACCAGACGTCTAAATGTCAACCATTCCTCTCGCCTCGGCGAAAATAACACAATGCACACTGGCCTATAAATCAACAACAACAACATTACTCCCTGCTCTGTGAAGCACAAAATCACAGAACTGAGTCATTAAGACTCATTCTCATGACTCATATTTCAGATAACCCTTTGAAGTGGATCATTACGTTGTTTCATTAAATCCCAACGAATTCAACCCTGCTGGATCTAATAATGTTAGAGCTGCGGAGGTTGTACTTCTAATGTTAAAGTGTTTACCCAGACAGGTCTTCATATCCTCCGATGACATAAAGCCATCAAAGCACAGGCACTGGAAGGTCCCAGGGGTATTGGTGCACTGGCCCCCATCACACACCTCAGGGCTCTCCTCACACTCATCGATATCTAGAAATACACACAAAGGAAAATCTAAGCTTGAACACAAACCACTACAAAAACATTCGGATTGATTCATATCATTAAAAATAAAACAAATGCCACGATTGAAACGTTGCAATTAAACACTGCTTTTAAATTACAACTGTAAAGCCTTGATTTCAGTTTGGAAATTAGAGGAGTACGACAAAAACTGTGAACAGCATATTCAACCTGCAGTTATATAAAGAAAAGAATAAGCTTTGAAACAAGAGAGAGATCATTTTCACAGAACATCTTTCATTGCCTGTGGACTTTTCAAAGTAAAAAGAAAAGCAAACATTATGGTTTACATTTTGAGAGTAGGTTTCCTTTAACCACATAACAACATAATCACCACAGTGTGTTGTGCTATGACTGCTTTTTACACTTGCTGCCTTAGAAATTAAGAGCTTCTCTTATAACTTTGTTAACAAGGAAAATGAAATAGAAGAGGTCGGTGATGATCAAACAGATTTTAAAGTTACAGCATGGGACAAGGAGAAAAAGGAATAAATGTTAATACTGTACAGTTTAAATGTAAAAAAAACAAAAAAAAAACTTTAATACTGTATGCATGAAAATAATAAAATACAATTACTTACCAGTGCAGGTTCTTAGATCAGGCATGAGTGCATAGCCGCTGTTGCAGCTGCACTCATAGCTGCCCTCTGAGTTTGTGCAGAAAGTCTCACAGCCTCCATTTTCAATTGTACACTCGTCAATGTCTGAGCAGCAGAAAAAACAGAGTGAAAAAATATTCAACAAAGCCAAATGATTTTGTCGTCACAAGAGACCAGTTCAATGTTTAGCTACGTACCGACACAGTCCAGCCTGTCCTCACTGGATTTGTAGCCCGTGTTGCAGGTGCACTGGTAGCGGCCGATCATATTGACGCACTGGCCGTTCCTGCATAACCTGTCACTTAACTCGCATTCATTTATATCTGTAAAAGAACAAACCCATGATGAAGACTAGAAAACTAATAAATCAAGTTTATCTATGAATCTTTTTCTTTTGTTTATGAAGATTTTTTAAGAGATTTTTTCTAGCAATCGACTCATTGGGCTTCCATGGCTCAGAGTGAAATCAGTTTATTACTTTTTGTTCTTAGATGTGAACACATAACTGATAAACTAGCTCCCTGTGTGATACCAATAGTTGCAAACTTTAACTTTTTTCACAGCTTAAATTTTGTTGCAATTTAAATTAAGTTAAACTCCCAGAGGGGATGATTGAAATAAAAGCACATTTTTCAAGCAATATTTGTATTTGTCATTTTTGTTATGAAACTTAACTGAGAAAAAAAAAGAATCAAAAATGGAATGAATTTGAGATTTTATTTTTTAAGCCATATTGCCCATTAGTTGTTAGAATTGAAAAAAATATTTTATGATTCATTAAGTAGAATTGAAAAAAAATTATTTCTGTTGCAATGATGGAAAACAATGAAAACTGTACAGATATAGAGATCTCAGACCTAATTTTAAGGCTTATCTACAATTGCTTGTTGGGATTTGCAAGATACTTTGACTTCAAAGGACCGGAAAAATAATCTAAACTTCTTAATCCTTTTCTTAACCAAATTTTACCTTCACATCACGATCCATTTACTTCAGATCTGTTGTTAATGACTTTTTACCTCAGCTTTCAGATATATCTACAATTGTTCAGTTCCAAAACCTTCAAAATTGTTTAAATATCATTATTCTGATATGCTTTGACTGCTTGCATTCTAAAACTAAACAAAAAAGAATTGAGGTTTTATAAAGTAAGGTCAACAAAGTCTTAAGGCCACATATACAAAGAAAAAAAAAGCAAGATGATCCAACTTCTCTTTTCCAAAAAAGAAGAGAGAGAAAAGAAAAATAAATAAAGAAAATTGCTTACCTAGACATGCTGAGCCATCAGGAGCGATCTCATGTCCCTGGGGGCAGATGCACTGGAAGCTGCCCTCAGTGTTTACACATTCACCTCCACGGCACAGGAGAGGGTTCCTCTCACATTCATCAATATCTGACAGCCAAGGAACACACACATCAAAATCACATATAAACTCAGAGCTCTGGCTGGTGTGCTAAAATATTGTTTTCACAGCATAAAAAAATATCTGCATTTTGAATTGGGCTACACATAACAAAACAATACAAAGAACATAACAAAAAAACATAAAACATGTAAAAAAGGTGGATATAATAAAATTGTAGTATTAATGCCCAAGTTCAGTTAAATCAAATTTCTAGTGGAAGCAGTTCCCAGAGTTGCAGTGCGACAACAGAAAAAGCCCAGTCACCTCTAGTTTTGTACTTTATAGCCATCCAGCTGTGTGTAAATACTGAATGTCTGACGTCAAGGAGCTTGTGAGAATTGAAAAGCTCATTAGGTTTTGCTTTGATAACAAATATACATGTTGAAAACCTGCTCTGAACATGTTGGAGGTGATAAACAGATGACTCGGGGACGCTTGCATAGTTGCATTAGTAAATTCTGAATAAATGAAAAAAAGCCAGAACAGCATTCTCCAGGCTTGATTTTAGTTAGAGAGCATAGATGATAAAAGCTAGACCGATCATAAAAGTAATTTATTGATCAAATCCTACATTCTTGCCAAATATAATCCAATGGTTATGGTTATAATCCGATGGTCACACATTATATTATATATGCAATGTTTGAAAGATGCACTTAGATAGACAATGTTGTCAATAACTGCAATGAACATTGACATTATGCAGGGTTATGATAGATCCAAGTGGCAACAAATATTCAGGGAAAAAAGCAGGGGCCCTACATTTAAACCTTGAGGTACCCCACACAGAAAGGGACACCAATAAGCATGGCAGAAAAGGTTCTGACAGAGAGGCAAGATTTGAACCTCTTTATAGTTTTGGATATCAATCTGGTCATAAAGGTGAGAGAGCAGGAAATGACTAGCCTCGTGAGACCATCCTGATCTTGCGAGCTTTCAAGGTTTCACTCGCAAATCAGTCTGGCTACTCTACGTTAAAGAAAATTTGGAGCAGTTCACCAAACGAACGTCCAATCAGCGTTGGCTTTGAGGCGGGTTGAGGTGTGACGCAACGAGAAGCGCAACAGTTCAGTCTAAAGAACATGGCGGCTTCAGCCAATGAAACTAGCGTTAGCGTGGCTATCGAGCAAGTTTTATCGGAATTACAGAGTATTTCTTTAATGAAAGAAGAGCAAAACACTGCTCTGGAGGCTTTTCTCAGAGGAAAAGATGTTTTTGCTCTTCTCCCGACTGGTTTCGGCAAGAGTTTGATCTATCAATTGGCTCCTCTTCGTCGTCGTTATGTTAGTACGTCATATGCTTCGTTGATCTGATTGGTTTATTTGGCCCGTCTATCACCAACATAGGCCAATCAGCTAACCAGTATTTTCGCCCCTTCCCAAAATTACTTCAACGGAAGGTTTCCAGATGGATATGCGGAGCAAATCCATCTGGTGGAGTCAGGTTAGGAAATGACAGCCTTTTCAAAGAAAGTCCCATGGATTAAAAAACGGAAGTACTTACACATTACAACACTGCACTCATTAATAACCTCTCTGCATATAAAGGAACAGACATAGTTTTCATCTTGCTCATATTTCTGCATTTTTTTGCATAATCATCAGCAATATTGAATTGATTAGCATCAATGACTGACCAGAACAGATAGGTAACACGCAACATTTTGAAAACTCTCATGGAATCTAGCCGAACTGCTTTATTTGAAGAGCCAATACTGTGGGTTATCTTCTAACTATGACACTGAAACAAACTTGAGACACTTGTGGCAACAGTTTAGGAAACCCATACTGGAACTTTCCCAACCATGTATCAACTGGCAGAATAATTCAATTTCTCAACTTCAAAAATCTATCTATATATGAGTAAAAACAGCCTGTAAATATCACTTACATCAGCCACCGGAGGAGTAGGCTGTTTCAGGTCTGGCATTAATGCTTAAAAGCACCTCATCAGCGGTTTACAACCCTGAAGGGAGTGTGGATGGCTGGGTTGGGATTTAGTGTTGTGTTGTAGGTCCTCCCTCTCGCTGAAAACTATTAGTGGCTGTAAATATTCCCTAGTTTCTGATTTTAAGGCTGGATGTGTGAGGGAAATTTAAAAAGATCACTCCAGCTCACAAACAAAATGATCTTAGATACATGATCCCTTTCTGTAGATTATTCATACATTCATCCATCAGAGGCGTTGATCAATTGAGTACTTAAAAAAACAGGTTCCTACTTACCCATGCAGTTTTTCATCATCATGAAGCCACTCTCATAACCCTCGAAGCATTCGCACTCAAAATCTCCTGGTGTGTTAACACATCTGCCCTGACCACAAAGATCCGGAGATATTCGGCACTCATCGATGTCTGTGAGAAGATAGAAAAAAAGGAAAATTCCAGATAAGAGAAATAACTTTGAACCCAGTACATAATCTTATGGGATCCAACACGTCAGATCAATGACCATTTATTTGCCAGTATTAAAATCCTTCTTCAATGTAGGGTTCTGCATGTAAAAACGTTCATAAGATTGAAGTCAGGAGCTCCTATCCTACCCTGGATAGTCTTCTTACTGTTGACCCCATGAAAGGTGAATGCACAGGAACTGGTAACAGCAGATAGGAGCTATAACCTGAGGTATTCAGAAGGCGCCTATGTGTTCTATGGAATTAAAAGCCTTTCTGAAAACACTGCAATGGCAAAGGTATTTGGTAATTTGTCATCACTCACATATAAGCTAAAATGGCGTCCTATTCTTAATTTATACAGATAAATAAAGTGTTAGTCAGTTGGTGGGTTTAACCTGATACTGTCTGAAGTCTTTAGCAGCACGTTGGATAACTGTGAGCTCTATTATGACCCCTTTAGGCCCCCATAGTTTTTCACAGGTCAATAACGTGGGTATGGTACTAATAGAGCCATAAAGCTGAGCTTTCCCACTACACAATTAAGTTTGATTTATTTTTGGTTTTTTTAGGTAATGCCTGTGTGCTAAACAAATGTTGAATAGATTTAAAAGTAAGAAAAACATTATAAAACTTCAATTTACTTAATATATTTTGTGACATTTAATGTTTTACAAGCGCAAAGCCCACTTATTTAGCCATAAAAAAAGAAAGAAAACGGTCAGTTCAGGTGTCTTATAAAATATGTGAATCAGGAAATTGTCTATATACCAATATAGCTATCTATCTATCTATCTATCTATCTATCTATCTATCTATCTATCTATCTATCTATCTATCTATCTATCTATCTATCTATCTATCTATCTATCTATCTATCTATCTATCTATCTATACCTATATACCAATTCAAAAAACAATTTAGATTTTAAAATGTTCTATGTTCTATTTTTAACATGTTTTATGTATAAAATGGATGCATAAACACCTCATTTTATTTAAGTGTTAAATGCTGTTTAAAGTAACAAATTATATTTAAAAATGTCTCCTTTACTGGTTGTTGATGATTTTCTTTTTGTTATTTCTGATTTTTAATTGGTTACCCAAGCACTAGGGCTTGGCTTTTAAATATAAGATTGAAGGCCTGAAAGTACTAGCATATAAGGCTGAGGTAGTAAGTTTTCATGTAGAGAAAATGGATAAGAAAAACTACAAACCATGGAAAAGAAAACTGCGGCTTGAAAAGGAACTTTGGCCTTTTAAATTTTAAGCTGCATTATGGAACACTTTACTGAAAATTTATCCTGGAAACTCACCTACAACGTTAAAACAGTTCAAGTACCATTTACTAAATCTGATCCTTTGAAATAACCCAGACTACATAAAACTATGACGTCATTTCAACCCTCCACTAATGTGTGCATTTTTCAAATCAGCAGCAACACATTTAACTAGACAGCTTAGGACCACCACCAGCAGATGCACAGCAGCCAGATCCCCATTAGATTGAAAGAGTTGAAATAAACTGTAGACTCCTGAATTAAATATACAAGCTGAACACACGTCTCATTCTTGAATATTTACCACATTGTACAAAGATTTTAAAAGATTTTGGTGTTATTTTGCGCTAGTTTTATTTATTCTTTTTTTTACTACACAATGTCTGATAACTTTCAAAATCACTTACCAGTACAATTCCTCTCATCTGAGTCCAGAGCATACCCGTTATCACAGCGACAGCGGAAGCTACCAATGGTGTTCCTGCACCTCCCATTGGAGCATAGGGTGTTTATCATCCTGCATTCGTTTATGTCTGAAGCATAAAACATAAAAAGGAGATGCTGTTTACAGTAGGGTCCATTGGTAGGATCTTTTTTAGTTTAAGCCCTACAAACAGTACTATACCTTTGAGGAATGGTCTGCCATTCATGAGGTCCCCTCTGTGGGCGAAGCCTGGGCCCCGGGGGCATAGCTGGTTAAATTCTGGTGTGCCCTGTTCTGGACATTCATCGCATTCAGGACCCCAGGCAACACCAACTGAGCAGCAGCAGGCATCCACCCTGTGCTTCCCAGATATTGGCGTTCCACAGCGCTCATCATCATGAGTGAGATAACAATGCTCTGTACGCAGGTCTGTAAATCACAGAAGCAGTGTGAATGCAAATCAAAATCTAAACTAGCATTCTTCATTCTTCAAGTGACAAAAGAAAGGTTTACCGATGCACATCCTTCCACTGATATCAGCAGTCATTCCTGGAGGACACTGGCAGAAAAAGGAGCCCTGTGTGTTGATGCACTTTCCATTAATGCACACACCCGGAAACACCTGGCATTCGTCCACATCTGAGGGTCAGCCAAGAGAAAAGAAAGCACACAACACAAGCAAGTTGAGTGCTTAATATTTTTTAGACAGTTAAAGCAGATTATTTCACATTTTGTTATAGCAGCCCATTACCTTCACATTTATTTCCTCTGACTCTGGCAAAGCCTTTATCACAGATCGGATCTGAGGAAAGGAGAGGACAGAATGCAATTCCAGTCAATGGAGGTATTAATGTAACCATCCTGGCCCCCTTAGTGTGGGGGTTCAGATAAACTGATGGTCTTTAGCTTTGTGTCTAAAGGCCGGTGTTCTGTCTGATCAGCATACCCCATCAGACCAGCATACACATAGTCAATACGCATGTGCCAGACGTCACATTTACATACGTTTTTTGTACCAAAAATACACTTTAAACTACCTCAAGGGGTGTGTATCCATTTAGTCATGTACAAAAAAAACTATGTAAGATCAGATCACCATACGCTTCAAAAAACACCGAAAAGTAAGTAATTAAATTGGGGGTTTTTGTACATGACAAAAGGGATACACTTCCATTGAGGTAGTTTAAAGTGTATTTTTCATTCAAATCTAAAGGGATAAACTAAAAAAAAAAAAAAAAAAAAAACTAAACAGATAAACGTGTATTGACTACAGGTATGCTGGCTCATCTGGTAAGATTTTGTTGGGAGATTTTCAAAAATTTAGAGACAGCACAAATAAGGCTAAATAAATTGGACATAGGGCCACAAGCAAATCCCGCCACATGCAAGCCTATTGCCAGCAGAATATTTAGCTGTCAGATGGGAAATATTGCCAAACATATAACTGTATCTGGATTAGAGTACTGCACAGACTCAGAACCCACAGTACAGATTCATCTTCAGGTAGAAAATCTGATTATATTATTTCAATAATACTGGCACAGCTATAAACAAAAAAATATACAATTAATAACTTATTAACTCTACATCTTAATAGGTGAATCCATTCAAATATAAAAGGATAATGATTATCTTTTAAGCATGCGATGAGGCTTCCTGAACTTAATAGGAGGCATCAATGGAAAATGCTTCAATGTTTTGCTCTGATAGAAATATCCAGAAAAAAACATTCACTAACCTAGTACTGATAGCAGATAATATTCTGCTTCTTATCTGCTTGGTTTGTGATGGAGATTATATTATTTTACTGTGCAGCAAATCCAAGAGCAAGGCCTTAATGTCAGTGAATAAACACCATAGTAAAAAAAAAAAGGTTATTTGAGCTCATGAGGTAATTTTTAATAGCCTGGGTGCCATTCCGAACTTAGTCCCGCCCACAAAGTTTGAGGTCGGGAAGTTCGGTCTGGCTCTGCTCCATAGTAGCGCGAGTATTATCGCCCACTGTCAGGCGATCCAATCAAATTGTCAGGGCGGGCTTTATACGATGATGGACAGATGACCAACAGTAACGTAATCAACCACGTGACCAAGGCGCGCTTGGGTGACAACAATAATGGCTGCCGCTGGAGAGTTTAGGTGAGTAGATTCTGCTTTAGGTCTGTTCTAGAAGATATCGACAGCAAATTAATTTTAAAAGAGGAACAGAGAAACGCGATCAAGTCTCATCTTCTTATTATAGGCGTGCAACTGCACGCTTTGATTTTTGTGGACAACAACTATGCCTCGCTTAACATACGTCACACACTCCGTTGCTCTTATTGGTTGTAGGTCTATCCAATTGTGTGCAGAGGCATTTTTTTCCCTGGTCCGTTCGAAACACGCCCCATAATCATTGCTCTATGGAGCAGTATCAGACTCATATTCTGACTAGAATTGAGTCGGACTACTTCAGGCTAATTTTTTAAAGCCCCAGGTGAATATCAGAGGTGAAATCCTATAGTTTTAAATTCAATTTAAAATCAAGCTGTTTAAAAAGAGGCTTGTTTTAAGTGATGTATTGTGTGCATTTCAGTGTGAGTGAGTGCATGTTTGCATTTGTGAGAGAAATACAATAACATTTGACCTTTGCTTGTTCACCACTGGTTTTTTTATGTGAGCATTAGCCCTCTGTTGTAAAGACACGGAATCAACAAGAATAGAGGACTTTGTGACTAAAAGCACTTATAAAAAATGAGCAGCTGTGTATACATTGTAATTACGGGTCTGGTCGGGCTCCATTATTCACTGGTTAGGGCACAGTTTTAAATGGGGGTAAATACAGGTAAAACAGGTCAGTTCTGAGCTGTACGGTGCAAACAGGTTGAAAAAATCTGACCCATACAGGAGTGCAGATCAAAGTGGAGCTAACCGGGAATGCTCATAATGAATAATCTAGGATGCCATTATGGAACGTTGGACAAAAAGAATCCAAAATGTTGGATTTCCTTCATTTATTAATCTGAGGGGTCTCAATGTTCCACCTAGCAGAGCAAATCACTCTTATCTCCTGATTATCTGTGGCTTTCTAAAGGGGAATAACTGGGCAGAAATCAGCATGATCTATTTACTGTATGAACCCCCTGCTATGGAGCCTTATATAAGCTAGATTAGGAAATTAGGATTGTAGCAATAGATTGTAATGATACGTTAACAATGAAGTCATACTTTGACAGCAAGGCTGTTAATGTATCATAATTGGTACTTGTTAAAATGGTTGTAACAATGATGAACATAGTTAATCATAATAGAGTGAAATTTATTCCATATGCTGATTTTGAGGGAACGTCATTTACAGCAGCTATATAAGTGTTCTTAGTACACTGAAGCAATCTTAATGAAAGTAACGAGATATACGTTTATTTTATGTGAAAGCAGAAAATGTAAAAATATCAATTCATTTTTCAGCTGTTACATTATTACAATTAATTACTATCTAACTAATTATGAACTAGTTTTAATAACAAATTAATTATGTAATACTCATTTTCTATAATTAGCTATTCATTTAATTAATTTCATTATACAAGGAATATAGAATTTAATTATAACTAAGCTGCTTCTATTCTAGGATCTCCTCCTTCTACCGAAGGGTAGTAGGCTGTGCTACAGACTTTCTCTACCCTTTTTGAGTCCCATTTTCAGGATGTCAGTAAAATTGTAAAGCCTGCTGTATATGTTTACATTGAATATCAATATTGCCCAATATTATGGTTATGTTATGGCTGATTAATATTATAGTAATTAACCATAGATGTCTAACAAACAGCATATGAAAAATAAGATTGTTAAAATGTATAGAAGCTTTTTGTTGTAAATTTGCAAAGAAGAGATTGAAATCTGCACAATATGGTAAAATTATGGAAAATATTGTTCACCTTTTTCACATTTAGAACATGGGCTGTTCCAGGCTTCTCCCAGAGTGGCACAGCAATGAGACTTGAGGGTAGCTCCATTGATGTTGACCTCGCAGCGACCGTTAACGATCTTCAGCCAGCAGGTGCTCTTAGTTGTCTCTTTATCATAAAATTAAAGCGCAAATAAGTACACTCTTGAATCAAGAAAGGTGGCTTTAAATCTGAGAAGATGTGTTTTAGCTACTTTGGTGGATTTTTTTTTTTGATCAAAAGTGATAATTGCCTACAGTCTAATCCAGGAAAATTACTTTAACTTGCAGAGAAAAGGTGCACTTTTTTTGTACAAACACTTGTGGTAATGGTGCTGAAAGAAAACCTGACTTTTGTTTACCAATGCACTCCAGTCCAGTGCTGTCCAGCTTACTGCCCACTGAACATATACAAACAAAAGACCCTTGGCTGTTTCTGCAATCTCCATTGATGCAGGGGCTGGACTCACATTCATCCACATCTGTGGGCATGAACAGATATTTTACTTTAATTCACCATCAACAATGAAAAGCTGTTAAATAACGATGCATTACACCAAAGAATGAGCATTTGTCTGACCCTCGCAGACATCTGTTTCGGGGTCAAAACGAAATCCCTTCGGACACTGACAGGTGAAACTCCCGGGAGTGTTCCTGCACAGGCCATTGTCGCAAAGCAGCCTGTTCATTAGACACTCATCAATATCTGAGCGAAAGAAACAACAAAAAAACATATTAGATATTTAATTAACACAGCTTTTATTAAGTTATGCTTAAGGTTATACTGAAGTACACCTACCAACACAATTTTTCCCTGTAAGGTCCACTTCATAGCCTTCATTGCAGGCACATTTGTAAGTCCTAAGCATGTTCTCACAGACTCCATTCTGACAGATATCAGGGTCCAGGGCACATTCATTTATATCTGAGAAGGCAAAGAACAAACCATGACCATGTAAGTAAAAAGATCACATCAAACACCACTTTTAAAGGCAAACAGCTCTGCCTGTTTGAGGTGCAGTTGGTGTTTCTGAACCAGGACGGCACTTATGGATGAACCTGAGCAAATCTCCTTACCTCTCCCATCACCTGTTATGCCGGTGCCACTGGGACACAGAGCCAGAAACTCAGCTGCAACAAAACACAATTTAGTTAAAACAAAGAATCCGTAACATATAAGAAAACATTTCTTCAACGAAAGTTTACAAAAAAATGTAAAACCATGTCATTATCCGGTCACATGCATTGTAATTTAGCTTCAGTGCATATTATCCACCTTTTTATGTGTGTTTTAGTGGTGCCCTTTTATTACATTTTTTTTTTACTTGAAGAACTAATGAGAGGCAACTACATAAATGATGTGTCAGTATATGCCTTGTGTGTCAGGACTCTTAGCGCAGACTTCATGACATGATTCAATGCCATTCGGGCAGATTAAGCAGTAGGATTTGTAATAAAAGACCCACTGAACAATTGCTTATTTCAGGTGAATCTCATTGACATATTTAAAGTAAATAAAGTCTGTATATACAGCTATGACATAGAAATAAGTATGTAATTCAGGGCTTAGACTAAACTAACTGATCATTTCAAATCAAAACCATATGATTATCACAAAGCAAGTCTTTACTGTAAATAAAGCTAAGGTGTCAGAAGGCATGGATATAAACAGAAAACATAAAACTGTTGTTTTGAAGCATTTCTTGTGTGAATGTTAAGAATGTTGAATTTCAGCATAATTAAATCTTACAGTTCATAAAGGCACAAATTTCCTGATGCAAAATAAGGATTTGACATCAGACCAAAAAAATGAATGAGGGATTGATAGAAAGTACATTTTGAACCTGCTTATAGTTCATTATAAAAGTAGTTATAATTTCATAAACATCAATCAAAATGACACATATTCTAGTTCACTGAACATGAATAGATAAAATATTGATAGACTGAAATATATAAAGTCTATTAAGAAAGAAAGAGAAGAACCTTTAAAAAGCAGGTTAACAGTTAAATTCCAGCTTTGGAAAGGAATATTCAGAATAAGAAATGTCAAAAACTATGTATACCTATAAAACATGTCTTAAAAAGCTATTTCAAATGTTCTTTACCCAAATGTATGTTAATTTTAACTTTGGAGCTTTTATACATTGTTTAGTTGGATTTTCAATAAAAGAACTAACTGAGGAGTGTTACAGCTGGTAATTGAATGTAGACCTGATTTCTGTCAAATTGGTTAAAGCAATGTTTGAAAAGGCCTTAAACTCTTAGAGAGACCTGTCTGTCTGTCTGTGCAGAAATATGGTAGTATAGTAAAGGGCAAATATATTTTAATTTCTATACCAGAGCTTTCCGGTGGGCAGGGTTGGCAGGGCTCTCCATAGGCGTACATGGTGCTGGCACAGCAGCACTCTGACTTGGTCACGGCTCCAAATAAAGGCCGAACACACTGCCCTCGATTGTAGCCACCGTAACAAGAACTGCGCATATGTGTGTCTGTTTTAGGAGAAAAATAAACATGTAAGAGAAACCAAAATGAGCAACCAGATCTTAAATGTGGATGGAAATAGACCAACACGGAGTGAAAAGAATAGCATCAGTCAGCAACTCCAATAAACATCCACACTAGCAAAAACAAATGGCTACTCTATCTGAACTCTCTAGGGATTCAGGGCATTCTCCTGCACTGATATCATCCCTGTGAGTAGCCACCCTAAAAACAACAGCATTTCAACATGGCTAAAAATAATAATGCAATGTCATTTTAGAAAATTCTGTAAAGTTCAAAACATAAAGGCACAATAAAAATCTAGATTTCAATAAACTGGGGCAGCATTGGCATCTGATGTAGCAGATTGCTCTGCAAGGGTTGTCGGTTCAAGCCCAGGCTCCAGCTTTCAGTTTCTTTGTGTTGTCAGGCAAGAAGCTTAGCCTCCTGACTTGACCAAAGCGCTATATAGTTTCAGGCCATTTACCATTTTACCCTTTAACAAACATGTTAGACTTGAGCATAAAGAGGCACTTAAACGTAAATCAGCACTAATCAACCAATTGAGATAGCTGGCAGCTATCATTCTCACTCATTCTCCTTGTCCAACCAGAATACACTATAGCAGAATGGTCACAAATGTTAAGATAGATTAATTTCAGTGGGGAATGAGAAAAGCAGATCTGCTTTCATGGTTTTGGTGTGTTTTTAAAGGATTTTCTTAAAAATAGTGGCAAAGAGGATGCAATGGAACCACTAAAGGTGCGTTCACATCTAATGTGAAACCTGCAAAAGTTTTGCTAGGTTGGTCTGCTTTTGCTCGCCTTGAAATTTGCCTGGCCAGTGAAAGTCTTTTGCATGCCAGGCAAATTCGCACAGCAGGCAAAAGGCTGCAACATCATTGATTCTTCTGGTCTTTAGTTTCACCTCATCATGGTGAACATGGATGTACAAAGCGACTGGCAGTGATTTTTTTCTACTTTACACAGCCTAACAAAGCTGCTGGTGTTCCTAGGTTCACCAGATCCCCAGAGATGGAACCAGTATGGAGAATATCACCAAATCCTCCATAGCCTAGGTCTGGATGACGGTCATTTTCAGCCGTACTTCCGCCTACATGTGACCCAGTTTGGGGCCCTAATGTCCGCAAAGGGGGATGAATCACCTGAAGGGTTAGGTGAGACAGCATTCTGGAGCTCAGACAGGAGCAGTGGGAAATCAGTGAGAGAACACCAGCAGTGAAAAAACAAATCTGGGACCAGACTGCCAGCCGTGTAACCATCTGGAACTAAAGAACCACAGCAGTAGATCGGAGGATCCCTCTACAGAATCAGCGCACTGAAGCCTGCTTACAACAGCACTATTGGAGAGAAGCTACAGCTGGTCCCTGCTTACTATAGAGGCTAACTTCAGAAAAACACAGGACCGCCTCGAAAGATTATATAAGTGCACCAGGAAGAGATTACGACTTCTGAGGAGTAGGACAGGACTAACTGCAGTGAGATTCCCAGTCCCAGTCCCTGAATGGATTTTGCAACTTGAATGTAATCAAAAGTTGTTTTTCAACTTCATTCGCAGATGAGGCTGCAATCAAATGTTGCCAACTTCGTACCGTTCACTTCCCTAAATTCACCACCCTCAGCTTCGCCCCGCTTTGCTAGGCTCCGGACCCGCCCTTCTACATAGCGGAAATGTGAAAATCATTCAATCCTGTTTGGCTTGAAAATCACGTCCGGTGTGAATGTACCTAAGCAACTATCCATGGGGTGTGGGGGATCTGTTTTTTCAAGGAGTCATGACAGCTACTCAGGTGTGGAAAGTCCAACAATTTATTATAGCTTAAGATTCTAACAGTAGCAGATAATTTTAATATGCAAAGGCAAATCTGACTTTACTTCTCTACATGGACAGTAAGTACTTTTGAATGCAAAAAGTAAAACAACTAGTAAAAGCTTATGTTTATAGCTTTAAATGTAGCAAGAGAAGATTTCTGGCTGCACGAAGTGATGATGACAAGAAAAAATAGTGTTAGATTACTGCTTGCTATAATACTTTATAACGAAAGGAAACAAATCGCCGTTTTAATTAAAAACTCTCATGTGGTAACTCACCAACGCATACTCGTCCATCCAAGCCCACCGCCATCCCAGCCATGCACTCACAGCGGAATGAACCCTCCGTGTTGATGCAGTGCCCGTTCATGCACATGCCTGGAGTTTCACACTCATCAATATCTACAAATAGAAACAAAGATGTATTTCATCTTTACAAAACAGAAGCCTGATTACTGAATAACTGGCTACATAAATAAATCCACCCTGCAGCACAGATTCCATAACACTTTTCTCAACTCCCCATAAAACAACAACCACAATAATGATTATAAACAGTGATGTGGCATATATGTAGCACTCTGTGGTCATGTATGTAAAGGGAATTGTTTATTTAGGTAACTCTGCAGAACAGCTAGACTTACTGTGAGACAATGAGCCCCCTGAGACACATCTAGGTGACATATTTCATTAGGGACTGCACACATACTAAAAGAACACTTCTTCCACACCCTATTTCAGTAATTATTTAATGAAATTAACACACTCTCAGTGTCTTTTGAGATCAAACGTGTGTATGTGAGTTTAAACCCGGAAAATATACATTTGAATGACAAATCTTTATATTAATCAACAGCACATAGAAACTCATTTTCTGCAACCGATAACGTCAAGTAAAAAAAGTTAATCTTTTCTCTTAGTTTTGATTATAAAGGCAATACACCTCTGACCTTTCTTCATGTGTGTTTAGATAGACTATTAGAGCTGGACAGATATTTGCAGATCCCAGCTACCACCAAGTCTAGAAAGCCATCAGGAAATCAAGGGGGGTTTTCCAAGACTTCTAGGGGGATTTTTTTTTTTTTTTAGCCCATCTGTTTAGACTCACTTAACAGGAGCAATAAAATGCCAGAGCCAGCCACCCGGCAAACTACATAAAACCTTTAACGCAATAGGAAAAACTGACTGAAGGTTTTTGCAAAATGTTAAACCATTTCACTAACACACCTACACACATGCGTCCGCTGGAGTCCAGCAGGAACCCGGGCTTGCAGATGCATTTGAAGCTGCCGTCATCATTGATGCAGAGTCCATTGAGGCACATGTTTCTGATCAGACACTCGTCTTGGTCTGTGTGGAAGTAAAACATGAATTATAGGTTTGTTAGCAAAACCTCCAGGTGACTTCATATAAACCAGTGTTTGCTCCTTCATCCATCCGTCCGCTCATCCATCCGTCTGTCCATCCATCCGTCCATCCATCCGTCCATCCATCCATCCATCCATCCATCCATCCATCCATCCTCGTCTAAAGGGTTACTGGACAAGAGGCAGGGTACACCTTAGGCAAATCACCAGTTAATTAGAAGACAACAGAGCAGCACACAAGACAGACAATCATGAAAACTGAAACTTAAGAGTAATTTAACATGGCAAATTAAAAAAACAAGCAGCTTTTTTGTATGGTGAGAGCAGCAGTACTTGGAAAGAACCTACTGGAAGAACAAGCAAACCTTGCACGAAAGGAAGTTCGGAGACGTCAACATTTATCACTTTTCTTAGATCATCCGCACAAAACCTCTGTGCTGTTCCATGATATTGGTGTGGAGATTGAGAAGCCAATTAAACAACAGGCTTACAGAGTAAGTCCAACAAAGTGTGTTTTAATGCAACCTGGTTGCCAATGGTTTAGCAGTGCCTAGTAAAAGTGCGTGGAGCTCTTCCTGTATTCTAGTACCGAAACCAGATAATACATCTCAGTATTGTACTGATTACAGAAAGGTTAATGCCGTCACCAAGCCCGATTCTTTTCCTTTTCCTAGAATGGAAAACTGCATTGATCGTGTTGGCTCAGCTAAATTTGTGACAAAGTTGGACCTGTTAAAATGTTACTGGAAAGTCCCATTAACGCAAAGAGCGCCTGAAATTTCTATTTTTGTAACTTCGGATTATTTCCTCCAATATACCTTCATTCCTTTCGGGTTGTGTAACGCACCTGCTACATCCCAGCGCTTAATGCAAAAGGTATTATTTCGAATGAGAAATTGTGAAGCGTATTTGGATGATTACTAAAATCTAAAATCAAATTCTACTTAACAGCAACATAAATAACTCATTCATCCAGGATAAGAACTAACAACTATACAACCTAATGGCTTCAAATATTATCTTGAAAATGTAACTTTTACCAAATAAAAATTTTTTAAGTTGTTTAATGCTCTAAAACAAACAAATATCTGACATGTCACGAGTAATGCAGTGGGAAATGGAGAAAGAAGCCACTAAATTCAGGGAACAGGATGAATTTAGTTAACTTTATAAATGTGCAGTTTGAAGATGCAAAGAAAACAATTGATTTCCTTGGAAAACCAGTGAGACCTAGAGTTTTTAGGGCTTCCCCTTTTCCTTGGGTTAACAGCGCTCAGAGGTGCCCTGAACAGAAGAGAAATCATCTCTGGTCACTGCAGAGGCTGACATTACAAACCTACTGTTGTGAATAATGACAACAAAGAGTATAAACTCTGACACTCTTCTTTTTCTCCTCTGCCTGCATCTTATCTGCCATCTGCACACTCCTGTAGCAAATTACTGCTGCTTTTAGAAAGCACAAAATACTCTCAGACAAGTAATTACTGCACTGATTTGCTGCCTTAGGGAATGGCACAGATGTAACACAAATGTAATGCAGCGTTGTAAATTAGCTTTACATGGAAATATAGTGCAGTTTTAAAACATGAGGCATATATTGACCAGCATTGTTGGAGGAGGTATTGGAGCAAGGCATGCAAAGGTATTCAAATAAGAGTTTTTGTTATTGCCCAGCTGCCTTTTAGTGTCATTCCAAAAAATCTTTAAAGCTACTTTTCTCCTTAATTTTCTTTGCAGAATGTTCAAGTGGTCTTATCTTCCTCATTTCCTATTTTGATTTACACAAGTTGGAAATTGTTAAAAAGCTTAGACTTCACTCTCAGCATCTGTGAATAACTCAAAAGGCCCTAGGTAGACTTACTTGGATTTAAGGTTAGTGTCACCTTCAGTCACAAATACACACAGATACATTTTGGGTACTTCTTTCTAAACATGCTAATTGCTAATACCTAATATGGTAATAACTTGTCTTTTCTTTAAGAACATTAAAATCATGTTTTACAGGAACTACTCTCTTACTTGTTTTGACATTGTCTCCTATCCTAAAATGTTTTTCTTATACATTCTGGTACTTATTCTGGTACTTATTCTACACCTCCAACGGTTTGTATTGTTGCAGCTAACAACATGTGTTTAAAATCTCCTCTACATCATAAAGACAGATGTCAGAACTTAACAGACCTTGGCAATTTTTGCCATCCGGTGATATCTCGAATCCGGCGTTGCAGACACAGTGGAAGCTGCCTTCAGTGTTCACACAGCGCCCGTTATTGCAGATCCGCCCATTGGCCACACATTCATCCAGATCTGAAAGTAGCAAAGGTACAGTCAACGCATGCAGCTTCTTGAAGACCACTGCAAATCTACATAGACCCGGCTGTTCATCTAAACTTTCAGCTTAAAGAAGAACACTGAAATGTGGCAAAAGGTAGAAAAGTTCAAGGGACGAATACTTTCGCAAGCACTGTGGCTATGGTTTATGGGTGGTTGGGGGGGTATGATTGTCACCTCGACATTCTGTCCGAGTCGCTGTTGTCTGAAATCCAGGAGGACACTGACAGATGTAAGAACCAGGGGTGTTCATACATTCTCCATGTACACAAGGACTTCTATCACATTCGTCGTCATCTGTAGAGCAAACAATTAGTTTAAAAAAGCTTTCAAGTGTTCACGTAAGCTGACAAAATAAAGAAAATAAATGTTTTTTACCGATACATTCTCCCCTGGCATCCAGCTTGAATCCCATGTTGCACTCACAGCGATATCCACTGCCCGTTGAGGGAATACACCGGCCATTTAGGCAGAGGTTGCGGACGGCCTGGCAAATGTTTGTGATATTCTGTGTCTGGATTATATTGGGACCTGACCAAAACAAATAAAATTTAGAAGCTGAAGTGGGCAGAAGGGGAAAAAAGTCTAACAAGGTACATTGGCGCATTCTACAGATTGAATATAACAGGGGTCGGCAACCCGTGACTCCAGAGCCGCATGTGGCTCTTTAATTTCCCCCTGGAGCTTTTTCAAAAATATATGTATTTTTGTTTAAATATGGTGTGCAGGAGGTAAATAAACATTTATTATGTTTCCAATGCTGTAAAATTTTGTATAATAAATACATTTAAACAATACATTTTGACAATTCTGTCAATAAAAATCTAGGTCATAGCCTGCAACGGTGCCAGGCAGGTGTCTGCAATAAACAAAGCAGCGGGTTTGTCTAGGGGCATGGATCCAAAGGGGGAAAAAAAGGAAGATAGCTGATGAGAATAGAGGATTCGAAGAAGAATTTACCAAATCAATTGCTTTCATTACCAATGCAGAAGGATTACCTGCATGTTTGCTTTTGTAATAAGAAGTTGTCAAATAATAAAGAGTCACTTGGAAAGGCATTTCCAGGGAAGGCATGTTAAATACGCAGCCAACCACTCCCTCACATTCTCTCACTCCCAACCAAGTTGGGAGTGAGAGAATAAAGTGCGATAGCAGAACTTCTAGATAAATTAGAGGAGCAAAAAGATAGATTTAAGAAGTGGATTGCAACTCAAAACTCCACTACTGCTGCTAGTTTTGCTGCAAGCATGGAAAACTGTCCACAGATCGAACAGGTAGCGCTCTTATGCAGGTATGTGAACTTTATGCCGTTTTTTTCTCAAATCCTCAAAATAAAGTGAAAACAACAAATCACATTTCTTCATTGTGTTTCCTTATAGAACTTATAGAGTTATATATGTATATATTTATATTATTTTGTGTGGTTTTGTTGTGTGTGTATATATATATATATATATATATATATATATATATATATATATATATATATATATATATATATATATATATATATATATATATATTATATATACTATTGTAATATATTATATATACTATTGTAATGGAATTTAAACTTTTAAACCAAATATTGTACAGCAGAGAAGTCACATGATATAACATTTGCAAGATCTAGGATAAACATTCAATCATGAATGCTTATTATATATTTAAGCCCATGTAGTCGTTTTCTATAGTGGACTAATACATTTAGAGCCTGCGTTTCCATACGGGGCTTATATAAGACATTTACATTTTTGCGGCTCCAGACAGATTTGTTCTTTTTTTTTGGTCCAATTTGGCTCTTTAGATAGTTTAGGTTGCTGATCCGTGGTATATAAAGTAGTCTATAGTTGCAATAAATCTTAACTCAGAATATGTGGTTTTGTGTTTTCAACAGTTTATCTTAGAAACGATATTCTGCACATAAAACTGTAATTGGTGTACAGTTTAAATGATTACAAAAACAATCAAACACATGATTTATGGTTCTTAATGACAAGGTCAGCAGCTTTTTCAAGTATGACTTGAAGAATGTTTTGGTAAATTTTATGAGAGAGAAGCAAAAAGCAGTTTGAGTACCTGATGGGTTAGGCAGTACGGGTATTTGTCCAGGATATGGTACTGGAAATTGCCCTGGAATCACAATCGGTCTTTGATCTGGGAACTGACCAGGACCTTGCCCAGGAAAATCTCCAGGTCCTTGGCCGGGTATTGTAATTGGGTAGATGCCAGGTGTGTCATGAGGCCCCGGTACAACCCCAGGAATTACCACTCCATTGTTAGCATCAGTTATCTGGATGCAAAGTCTCTGGTACTCCTCTACAATTATTACATTTAGAAATGATAACAAAAAAAAAACAAGAAAAGTAATTTTTTGTTAAGGGAATGTGAAAGACAAAAATAATCCAGTGAGATCACTCTTAACTCCACCTGTTCCACGAATGGGGCACATCTCCGGCGTTGAGCCTTCAGACCAGCAGCGTCCACTGTCACAGCAGCACTGCATTTTAGTCAAAGGTTGTGAGTTTTGGTTGGCACAGCGTCCATTCAGCAGGCTTCCATAGCAGTATCCACTGCGAGCATCTGTGAAAAAAGACACAGCATGAACTGAGTTAAACAAATCATGCTGCATAGCGACCTCTGCTATCTGCATGTTGAGAAAACTGGCAAGAGTAGAATCAAGTAGAAGTAGTTGTTTCAGACTTTCCATTATTTGGGGAGATGGTGGCTGCTTCCATGAGTCATAATTTTATATTTATGAGAACATTTTCTTCATGCTGCAGTTTCTGGCTCCATGTTTCAGCATGACTCAAGTTGCCTATTAACATAAAAATCCGCGTTTTTATTTTTAAAGTCAGTCAACCCAATGTGTTGGAATCTAGAGCCTTACATATGACACCACCTTTTGATTAGTCGATTTGTAGTATTCCAGGCTTACATAAAGTGACAAACAAATCTCTTCTTCAGGGCCTAGACCTCTAGTGTTACTGCATGGGAAACAGACTACCATTTTTGGCACAGCAGCTTTTTGGCACGGAAGACTCAGACATTCCTTCTTAGCATGCTCTCCTGAGGGGGTAATGCAAGCGTGTGTTTGCATATGTTTTTGTGTGCATGCATGCATGGAAGTGTAATAATGTGCATGAAGGTCAAATGGATTATCCAAACTTGCATTCTTCTCTGGTCTGTTTTGGTTGAAACTGAGCTTAAGGAGGGACTTTTCAGCTTTTCTGGAAATCATCATCCCAGTTCCAGTAGACTGACAGTCAAATACACGCACATTTCTATCCATCCAAAAGTCAACCTCATCTTACCTCACTCATCATATGTCTTTTTTTTTGTCAGATGAGTATTTACATAGCTTAACAAAATTTTAAAGCTGTTCCTATTTATTATTTCATTCAAAATCGGCAGTGACTGTTCTTTTACCCGACGTGGTTCAATTCAGGGTTTCTAAAGGTCAACCATAGGTTTTTCTTAGACGTAAGATGTTGTTTGGATTTATCTCTAAATTCATTTTCAGCCTGAATTAAATTGTTTTTTGGGGGAAACAAAGACGACATAATTTAGAGAATAATTTGGCGTGGGACAAAGAAATTCAGTACAATATCAGCAAAAAGCTGTTTTCTAAAGAAAAACTTTCAGTGGACCTAAAGATCTTTTCTTTAAGATCGTTTAAAGCATTAAACAATAGTTTGAAGACAAGCATGTAAAAAATAATAAATAAATAAGGAATGACTTGACTACTGACCTAAATTCTTCCAGATGGAAGAATGGAAGCTTTTTTTAGTTTTGTTTCTTCTGCTTGAGCCAAACAGAGAAGGAACCAAAGCAATGTGGAAAAATTTTGATTTGGAAGCATCACCATATTATCTGAAATGTTGTGTGCGGATGACACAATAAACACTGTCCTATACGGAGTGTGGAGTGTGGAAACTCACCTAAACACCTGGATCCATCAACAGAGGTGTAATATCCCTGAGGACACTTACAGAAGTAGCTGCCAACGGTGTTATAACATTCACCCACGCCACAGAGACCTGGAATGTTTGAACACTCATCCAGATCTAAGAAGAGGAGAGGATGGAAACGAGACACGGTCACAAGATTTTAAATCCAAAGGCCACAGGAGATTCTCCACTGTGAGTAAAACTAAACCAACCTTAAAACGCTTATAATCAGGCACAGTGTCTGTTAAGAAACATACTGTAACTTAGACGTGTTTGAAATGTGTTTTACACAGTCCAGAGGTTTTCCGGCAATTATTACTGGGCATAAAATAGCACATATTTCTCTCTGAAGATGAGTGCCAAAATAACAGATTTAAAGCAGGTCTGGAAATCATCAAATTTGTATGTTTATGAGCCAGTATTTCCCACAGACTCACTGTTTTTGTTTAAATGATGATGGAGATTGGAAATATTTAACACGTTTGGAGACTTTTTGAAGCCAAATTCCAGGAAAAAAATAAATACATTGAAAAATCAATATTCAAAAACTCAGTTTTATCCACACTGAGTGTTTTTTGATCTAAGGTTGCATAAACAGACCTACAAGTTTGTCAAATTTTGATTTTTGAAATCATCCACCAAATTTAGACACCAGACAAAGATAAATGGCAAAAAAAAAAAAGAAATTAAAAGTTGACGTTTGGTTACAGTGTCCACATATATGAACAACTATTGTTGTTGCTAAGTAACAAAAACAAAAATGGAGTTAAATAAAACATGAAAAAAAGCAAAAAGATCTAAACCAAAGAACAAAACCTGACCAACTCTATAGACATATCTGATCAGATGAAATACAGTCTCAAGGGGTCACCAAAACACCCAGAACAATATCTAAAATTATACTGTTTAATACTAAGTTAAACATGGTGGCTGCAGTGTGATGTTTTGGAGATTCATTTTGAATTGATCTATAATAAAAAAAAAACATGGAAGGTAACTATTGTCATTCTTTTCTGACCTTAAACTAAAACAATTTTGGTTAAATACAGGGCAATGAACCAGTAAGTTCATCCAAATCATTGTTTTGTTTGACATTTATACTGGTTTTAAGACTTTAAATTTTTTAGATATGACAAAGTGAAAACAGAAGCTTCATTCTGCAACTCTGTAAATCTGTATCAGCACTCCAATACAGTGCAAAGACAAAATTAAGCCTGCATTTCTCTTCAACCTCAAATTTAAGAGCTGTACAGCTGACAGTAAAATACACTGCTACTTTGATTTAATAAAACTTATTTTAAGAGAAAAGTGTGTGGTCTTTTCCCCACAAAGTAAAAAGCAGAATACCACCATTGAGACGAAGTGAACCACAGAGACGGATGTGGTTCTCTCTTAACTTTTAGGGATCTTTTAAATATGTTTCAGTCTACTCTATCATCCAGGCTGCCTCAGAAAGCCAGCCAGTTCACGGCCTCACCAGGACAAGTCAAAACGTTATTCTTACCGTCGCATTTCTGCGAAATCTCATTGAATTTGTGCCCAGCGGGGCATTTACATTCAAAGGAGCCCACTGTGTTGATGCAGTTGCCACCTTGACAGATCCCAGGGATGGCCTGACATTCATCCACATCTAAACAGAAAATAATAAGCAGTGAACGTTTACACCATATTCACAAAAATAAAACTAAGGCTGTACAGGTCTTTAATGTATAAGTTGTAGGTTTGAGCTTTTGTTTTTTATTCTTTTTAAAAGGAATTACAGGAGGAGAAGAAAGATTTCCTTTAGGATGAGTGTAAAATTAAGACAAGTTTTAGAGAAGTACATTTTTAGAGTACATTTTGGACATATGTACTCTAAATCAGGGAGATTACGCAGTGAGACACAACGTTTATTCAGAACAATAGGTTTATTTGTTATGCTTATAACTCAGTTTAATTCATTTAATAAATTTGGGCAAATGAAATCAACAAATCAGGCAGAAATTCTGGAGGAGGTTTTGACCTTCTCTCTTCTCAAAGAACTCCATGTTCCAGTAGGTCCCTGGCTCAGGTCCGCCTCCCCTGCAGAGGTTCTGATGTTATTGGGTCTGAGGCACCAAGGCACAGGGCCATCTTACCAGAAATGAACTCTCCCACGTGGCACTGCCACTGAACCGTGATACCGAGTCTGACAGTCCTGCCGCAGCAGGTGTCGCTGGGCATTCCATACACATGTGGGAGGCACTGCCACCCACCCAATTTAACCCAATTAGAACTAATCCTTTGGAGAGGGGGTTGAGGGGATGACAGAGCAAGAATGGAAAGAGTACACAAGGACAGAAAACGAGTTAAGTTGGGAGGAAAGCAAAAAGGCGTCTGGGAAAAGTGTCAGACAAAAAAGAAACACACAAAGCAAAACAATCAAAAAAATTCCCAAAGAAATTCAGCGTCAGACTTCAGACTTTACCTTGGCAAGCGCCAGTGCGGTGGTTTGGTATAAACCCTCTTCGACAGGGGTGAGGCTGAGCGGGGCACATCTCACAAGGGTGACCCCACGCCCGTCCTACTGTGGCACAGCACAAGGTTTTCGTGCAGACAATTCCAGTGAGCTGTCCTTGGCACATCTGGTTATTCACGGAGGCAAAGCAAGGCCCAGTACGGTAGTCTGTCAGAAAACACCAAGCTTTCATTTTTAAAATGTACATTTACTTGTTTACCTTCAGCACTAACAAGGTACAAAATATCATCCAATTCAGTGAGCATTGAAGCATGATAACAAAATAAAGGAAAAGTGTAAATCTATCTGCATTAAGGCTGACTGAGGAACTTAGGCTACGTTCAGACTGCAGGCCTTAATGCTCAATTACGATTTGTTTGTGAAATCCAATTTTTTCACATTTCATTCACATTTCCAAATATATGCGACATGTATCTGAACTCCTGTGTGAACTGCATTCATACAACTCAAGTGTCCCGCATACACAGTAAAGGACGCAACGACGTTACAAGCAAGCTTGCTCTGTGTTTACGGAAGTAAACATGGATGGTAGTAGTGGATCACATCTAGTGATTGACAGACTACCATGAAAAGATCAGATCCAGGTCGCATATGGGCAAAAAAATCTGATTTGTGTCACTTCAGGCTGCAGTTTGAACGTAGTCAAAGTGGTGCAGTAGATATTAGAGAAAGTGAGCTAAATGTTTGAGCAGTAGGGAATTTTCATTCAGAAGTTAAGAAAACAGCAGCTCAGTGGAAAGTAGGGGTGAGTATTGGCATGGGTGTTGCAACACGATATGTCACGATACTTGAGTCACAATACAATATTATCACGGCATTATAAAATTTTTCCCCACCATTAAATGTCACTGCTTCGCCTACAGATATGGTGCTGCGCCGCACAGCAAAAGGGCTCGTTGATCTGTGGTTGATCAGCGGTGCAGAGGAAGCCCATCTTCCTCTCATTGATTTAGGTAAAAATGTATTGGTTTTGTTTTTTTAAATCGATATTAGGAACTAAAAGATCAATATTATACGGGGCACCGAAAATCGTGATATAACACTTAATCGATTTTTTACCGCACCCCTAGTGGAAACCATATGAGAGAAAACTTCTTTTATCTAAAATTAATTAATTTAAATAATACCTTCCATGTGATTGAACTGTGAATGAAATATTAATTTGTTAAACTATTTTCAAAAAGGTTAATTCTCTATTAACAATAGAGGTAACATATATAGTATACTATAGTGTAATATTACACTATATATATAGTATACCACACTATATAGTATAATATATATATATATATATATATATATATATATATATATATATATATATATATATATATATATATATTTATATATTTATATATATATATATAGTATACTATATATATATATATATATATATATATATATATATATATATATATATATATATATATATATATATATATATAGTATTTTCATTTTTTATATTTTTTAACCCTTTATTTAAAAATTCAATATATAACATGGATGTATAAACACCTCATTTTATTCCAGTGTTAAATTCTGTTTAAAGTAACAGATCATTAAAAATGTCTCCGGACCTTTACTGGTTGATGATTTTCTTTATTCTGACCCCTTTGATTTTTAATTGGTTACCCCTGATATATAGTATATACTGTTTCTCAAGTCAGCTAATCAATCAATAAATCCATCCATCCATCCATCCATCCATCCATCCATCCATCCATCCATCCATCCATCCATCCATCCATCCACAAATAGAACACTGTGTATGTCGCAACAGCAGTCACTTCAGCATCTGCACTTCCTGTTAAAACTGTTATTTTGCAAGTTTTTTTTTTATGATTCTGAACAGCTGCTGAGTGCCATACTTAGTTGATTAAATCATAGTTCAACAATAAACAGAGAGGTAAGAAGAAAAATTCAGACATGCTAGAAACCAACAAAAAGCCCCGTCCCATTAAAAACGCTGCTGGAGCTAAAAGAGAGAATTAAAAGAGAGAATCAGCACAGCGATTTATCAAGTCCGCTCCAATTAGAACACAATGAGTAAAATGTTTTACAATGTGTTTTTTTGTTCGAAGAAACAGTTTGCGTGACCGAAAAAGTTCTGTCTCTGACATGAGACATATTTAAAGTCTATTGGAGTAATCAGTTGACTGGGGGCTGAGATACAAAAGGAGCTCTGCTGTAGTCAAGTTTTGATAACAAACTTCACATCCTACTCTCTAGAACAAAGCATTATTCAGGCCAATACTTAGAATACACAGTGCAAATATTTTGGAAACCAGTTAAGTTGTAAAATAAAGTGAAACATATGTGATTTGAATCGAAAATAAGATTCAGTAAATCTATTACGCCAAGGTTGTACCCTGTAATTTGTCCAATAACAACTAGAGATATACACTGAGACAGATCCAAAGCAACGCTGTAATGATAAAATGTATCAACATCAATGGCTTAGTATTTTTTCAAAGCTCTTTGTATTATAAAAAATGTTCCTTGTGTGAGAGTTTAAATAAATCAAAATTGAACATCTAATAAAAAAAAAAATAAGCTAAACATTTCACAGCATAATTTAGAAACAAATCTATTTATTTTTACTAAAGGGCAAAGCTACAGGTTCTTTATTAGGATGAGGGGGACCAATCCAGCAACAGCTTTTCTGCAGCAAAAAGATGGACTGGTGCAGCATATGCACAACTAAAGCAACCTAATAACCTAATGGTTTTCATACAAATCCTGCAGCATGATATGTCTCTCCACTTAGTTTAGGTGTTATGAGAATCTTATTACCATAAATAAAGAATTTTAGGTTGAGTAAAGAATAATCCCCTTGGTAACCAATGTTAGGGTGGCTAGTTGGCTTTGCCGAGGCTAAACTAAACTAAACTAAAGAAGGCAAAACTACTGGAGGAGGCTATCTGAGGATATGTGATTACAATGAATGATCCATGTTACTTTGACTTTTATTTTATCTGATGGGGAAGTTTGAATTTGAAGTTTTCATGGATTTGTTGTAGAACGGGCTTATAAAAATTTTTAAGTTGACCAGACAGTTACAAGTCTATGTTGTTCAAATAAATCACTTTAAAAACATGCAAAACTGTAGTGATAAATGTGATTTGTGTGCAACAAACTGTTATTTTGATGCACAAGAGGAGCCTCGGAAATCTTGGATAGTTGTGAGAGGGGTAGCAGAAAGTCAAGTACACCAAAAAACATGTGCTGCTTTCCACATATCTTCTGATCGTATAATATTTAGGCCTTGGTGTTGTGTCTAGTGGCAGGGTGGGGCTGGGGGCACGTGTATCGTGCAATTTGGCACACTTTTATTTTCCCAATCACACACAATTCAGGGGAGAGGTCCTTAAAGGCAGCAGAGGCTGACTGGCAGGGTGTGTTTCTGGAACATAGAGGGTGATTTCCAGACTAACTACAGCACCCTAGAGGTAAAACTAAATGACTTACAACAAATATGATAGTGTGAAGAAAGTCCCTCCATCAAGACCACTTTATTATTCTCCTCCCTTTCAAACCTCATTGCCCTGAGCCAATGGCTGGTATGCATTTGTTCCCTCAATGTATTCTCCCTTTAAATGCCACTCCTTAGTTGAAAACTCCCAGCTGATTAAAAAAATCACAGACTTTTATCAGGTAAAAGGTTTGAAAGATGGTAAAACACTGATAGAGGCAAAAAGGAGAAGGAAAAACACATCAATCTCAAAAAGAATCTGGCTATGATCCAGAAGCTAGAAATCATTTCCACATTTTCAGAGCTCACAGCAGAGCAAGAGGAAAGAGGGAGACAGACTCCAACAGCACAGTCATTTAAAATAAACGAGACATTGTGCGTTTCCCGTGTGGACCGGGGCCCAGCCTAGACCCGTCACGTGCACCACAGCATCCATGCTCTCTCTTCCTCTGGCACCAGAACTGTGTGAAACAGAACTGGGTCATCTCTCATTCTGTCCCCCCTCCCTTCTCCTCAGACTCCACTGGAGTCCAAATGCTTTTGATTTTTAGTCAACTTTCCTTCCAGCTAGAGGTCCATCTGAGAACAGCTACAAAGTAATGGTAATTCAATCGTTTTCTCCAATCTATTCACATCACATTTAAAAAAAAATGTCACCCTAAATGACATAACTACATCACTATATATCTACCAAAGCATTTTTAAGTTTTCAGTTTACTTTGAGGTCTACAGTGTCAATCCTGTTTTCAGATTATTCAGGTTTTATTTATTTGCATATTTATTCACATGTCAGAATGACTGCCTTCGATCAGAATGTTGGGAAATAAAGAGAAGCTTTAATATCAGATCTCTTGCCATGAAATCAAATTGCATCTTTTGAGATCATGGCTTGTCTTTTTAGCAATGTTGCTGTGTTTAAAACATGATACAAAAGAGTAAAGATTATTAGGGTCATTTGTATTTATTTACATTTTTCTTTTTTCAAGTGTACGTACAAAACAACAACAAGAAAAGCACTGTATCAGAGAAACTACAAATGCTCAAGTTCGCAAATGGCACCAATGTGAGCCAAGTACAACAGAAAATTGGTCTTCAAATATTTGTTTTACTGTCACACATACATATCTGACATCAAACCAATATTTCAGCTCTCAGTGTAAAGGAGAAAAAAAATTAAATGTGAATATGAGCAGGGAATGAATAAATATAAGCACAAGACTTGGAACAGTTGGCTGAGGTAAAAACGGGAGAGGCAGACAGCTGTAGGGTGAAAATGGTGTCATTTCATCCGTCATCCTTCTGAGTCTCTGTGTGCTGAATACAGCTGGGGGGACGCGCCCGAGTCGTGTAAGTACATCTGGGAGCAATCGCAAATCTGGACACACAAATACGCCAAGAACACACACTCACATACGCAGAACTGCAGCTCATTACAGCCCAGAATTGGCAAGCAGTAATCTCAAAACCCACCACAACTTATAGAAATGTTGGAAAGGGGAACATTTGCGGTGACTCTGTACAGCAACATTTGCTTCAGTGTGAAGTTAGGAAGCCTGCTTCAAAGTGGGTCAAAACCTGAAAATCTGAAAGTCACAAAAGAAAAACATATAACCTTCCGAATTATTCTAGATTGGGCACAAACTATATGATTTCCAGTTTGGTTTCCCAGCACAAAGATAATTTTGAACCATGTAACAGTGTGTATGCATGTGTTTTTGTAATTTCCGTGTGTTTCCTTTATAGGGTTATATAGCTGGGTGGGGTTTATTTATTGGCAGGTCAACAGATTTCTCCATTCTCCCAGAACAAACTAGCTGAGCTTGAGCTCAAATACAGATGGAAACACACACACACACCTACACACAAACACACATATTCAGTTATCTATCCACTGAGATTTGCCTCAGAGTAAAACAGAGGCTGATAGAGGAAAGTCAGTGAGACATTAAGACCAGAAAGCATCCCTCAGCTGACTGATCGACTTCCCTAAGGTTCTCTTGACTGAGTAGCTCACGTGTTTCCACATTTTTGGCCTGTCTTCCTCCACAGTCCCAAGTGAACTTACTGGCGTCATAGCTATGCTTTATTTTATTGCCGTGTTGCCAAGATGACTGCAATAGGAGGCAACAGCCCTGAATGCAACAGCAACTAGAAATTCCACATTCCAAACCAAATCGCATTTGCAATCAACAAAAAAATAACAAAACAATGAAGCACAAGTCAGCTTTTCCCAGTCAGCAGATCAACAGTCACTTTGGCAGCATGCACCGTGCTGCAGTGATGTCTTCGTACCATTTTTCTACTTCCAAGAAAACCTCAAGAGTCCTGTTTTCGACTGCAGCTCCCCTGGCAGGATCACATGTGTTTGGAAACCTCGTGATTCTGCTAATGTGATAAGATCAAGCCATAATGGAACACAGTTCTGTAAATTGCATTAAAATCAAGTGGGGTCTGCAAACACATGTGCTTTATGCATGTGCTAGTGTTTATGTGAGAGCACAACGGCATTCTCTCAGGAAGGTGATGGCGTCATTCCAGAGAAATTCCAGAAAATAAAGTTAACTGAAACTACTGAATCCCTGTATAAATCCATCAGGATTTTTTTGTTTTTGTTTTTTTGTGACACAAATGTTACACACCAATAAAAAGTTGTGGTAAACTGCAGTAAAGTTTTCAAATTATTTCAAGGGAAAAAGGAATTTATGCAGGTCGGATTTTTGGTAGAAAACCCGTTTAAATCATATGTATCATATATCAACTATGACTTACCGTATTTCCTAGTTCAAATCCACTAGTCGCACCAACCTTGATTATTATCAGACCTGTACAATCAGAAAATCACTAAAACAGAACCTGTCAAATACATTGAAATGGCCTAAATATCTCAGAAAGCCAACAAATAATGAACTGATCTAAAGACAATCAACAACTAGGAGATAAAAGTCATTGAGATCTATCAGCCTGATAAGAAAGCCATTTCTATGCCATTAAGATGCCAAAAACTCACAGTAAAAAACAATCCAGAATCAGACAAAAATTAATCCCATTAGAGAATCCAGACAGTCACAAAAGAACCACCAAAAGATTTCAAAGCCTATCTGACATGCCAAAAAGCTAATTTCTGATGCTTTATTTTGTTAATATTAATACTTGAATTTAATTGTATCGAAAGAAATATTCCCATCCCTTATTTGGATTATAGAAAGTAATCACAATAGTTAATCATCTCATAAAGCACTGTTTAAGTCATAAAGCGATAAAAAAAGAGTAAGCATGGCTCAATCTAAACCTACCAACACAAGTTGTAAACCTAATCCTTGGCATTGCTCAGAAAATCGGATAAAATGAACAATTTAACAAAGGTAGAGGAATCTACCAACAAGGCAACAAATGTTCATTCACTCTGCAGATCTGCTACTTAAAGATGTATGTAAATGGACCTCTACAGTATGTCTTACACAAAGCTATAAGAGGTCATTTTTGTAATTTGCCAAAACCATGGCAAGGAATGGGGAAGCATTTCAATTTGGCAGAAATCACAAAAAACACTTGATCCCTTGATCAAGTATTGTCAAGGATTTTTTTAAGACCTCCCCTCTCCACTTAAATAAAAAAAAAAAAAAAAAAAAAAAGCACATGCACAATCCTGTACAACTCCTGAGAGGGAACGCCTTTTAAACGCGTGCAGAACATGCAGAAGCCCATTTCTCTGTTTAAAAGTTGCTGTTCTCATCACTCATACAAGCTTACTGTGCCCAAAAATCCACCCTAACCCCTAAATGCCTCAATCCCTATATAGAGCGGGGACTATATAGTGGTCTTTATAGTGAACTCAGTTAACTTATTGTTTGGATAGATGATTATTGCTTTTGGCCTGCGCCATCTTTATTATTAGTCGCTGCTGTCGGCAAGTGAAAGTCTATGGCAACAGCAGGCCGCTGTGACGGAAAAATCCCATAATAATCCAATAATTCCTGTATATATCTGCCTCTTCTAAAGCCTTTCTTTACTTTTCATACACTTTTTAGACACTTTTTCTCTTTCGACCCTCTGCCATTTTAAAGAACGAGGGTGAGAAAGGTGAGCTTCAATGACTGTCTGAAACCGTAGTTAACCACAGATATACGCGTGAAAGTGTGAATGCTAACGGGACGAGGACATAGGACAGCGTTATGTAAACATATCACCAGAATGATTGACAATTAGGGGGACCACTTATTTAGGTGATCCACCCGGAAATAAAAGATTGTCTTCTATACGTTTAATTGCAGTCGATGTGTTACTTTGTGTTGGTCCGCCACATAGTATTCTTATATATATAAAATGTTCAAGGCGCCTGATTATTTTTGCAACAAACTGATTATAAACTCACTGAACAACTGTGTCATGATGAATGGAACCAAGACAACCAAGACACTTAAGCCCACACTGCTCCCCGGCTGCCGCACAGTGGCATCCCACTGCTCCCCAAGGAGATGGGTTAAATCCAGAGGTGAATTTCTCTAATGTTAGATCAATAAATTCAAATTGAAATTTAAATAAATTTTAATAGATTACATAAATAGCACTAAATTGTAAGTCTGCATTCTCTTCACATTGCTAAGTATTTAAATTTTTTTTAAAATATGCCATTTTATATCCTTAACAGAAGATTTTAAAATTTCAAATATTATATCATTTCAAATATCGTCTAGCTAGAATTTCACAAGGATGTGCAGGAGCATGCTTAACAAGAGAGAGCGTGGCACTAAACTTTGGGGCAACCTGATTATGCTTTCTAGTTAGAGAGTTTAGAGAGGAAAGTAATGTAAACTATAACAAAAGTTGGCTGTCATATTGACAGAGAGGACCATGGACTTGTTAAAAGGATGTAACTAATTAGGAATTCTGCTGTCAATCCAAATATTAGTGTAACAAGGTCAATACACTGACCCCTACAGGTCACTTTCACGACACACACACACAGACACACACTCAGAGCACAAACCAAACAAGAAAAATCTCGAACACATGCACGTTCAGCCCAAGCAGCACTGATTGCCCTTACACAGCTTGTATACTGAGGAGTCTTTGCTTTATTGTGCCAGAGATCAACCACAGTAGAATGGGAGGTCTTCAGTTACCAAACAGTACATGATCACAGCATCGCTACACTTCCCAGAGTGTTGTTTCAGAGCAGATGTGGAAAATAATGGTCAATACTGACTTTGAGCCTGACGTAAAAATGTTCTTCAACAAACACGGTCCCTTTCTCCATGTGGCATGACTGAGTCAGTTAGAGGAAACAACAAATATTCAGCGCGGTGTCACGTTTTCGCAAAAGCAGCACGTGCTGATCTGGAAACCCGTGCGGCAGCAGTGGGTCTGGAATGTCGAGGAATCAAGAGTGTGATGGATGTAACAAGAGGGGGCGCAGAGCTGTGTGGGATTCATTACCTCTCTCACACTGAGCCCCGGTGAAGCCATACGTGCAAACACATCTGTTGGGGGCCACACACCGTCCTCCGTTCAAACAGCCATTTTCACAAACCGCTGAGGAAGAAAAGAGACACAAAACATGAGACAACAGGAAGACCTTATTACACTGCAAAAACAATCCAGAAATAAGTAAAAAATGGCTTAAATTAAGTATATTTAGCCTTAATTTGAGCAGGTAAATAAGATGATTTGCCAATGGAATGAGTATTTTCACTCTTAAAATAAGACAGTTAGATAATATTTACTTGAAATAAGACGATAAAATAGTTTTTTCTTATTTTAAAAGGAAATTGTCTTGTTCCATTGGCAAAGTGTCTTACTTACCTCCTCAAATCAAGGAAAAACACACTTATTTTAAGAAAAAATAACTTATTGAGATTTATATTTTTTGCAGTGTAGCTAAATCACATGCAACTTTCACTAATATTTGCTCTCCCCAAGAAAGAATAACCTTTAAGAATAATTGTGAACATGTGCTGAGAAGATAAGTCTTGTTTTTAATCTAATGACATGGTTTGGTACTGTATTTCTGAAAAAAAACAAAAAACTCTAAAGCATTTCTGTTTGGAAGTGAAACATTGCTCAATAGATTTTAGACGTTAAGTACAATGCAATTCTTTTAAATAAAGAAAAATAGAGCATTTCTCTGTTTGCATAGCTAAAGTTTAACACTAAGCAAAACAATTAAATGTTTTGCTTCAAATAACACTTTTTGACCAACAAACATAGTTTAAGGACCTGGAGAATTTCAAACATACTGCCATTTGGCCAGTCTAGTCTCAATGACAAAGCCCTCCATTTCCTGACAAAGGTAAATCTTCGCTCTGGCCCAATAAACATGTGGAGAACCAACCCAATTTTTTTTTTTGTCCTGTGGAAGAGCTTTGATCACCAAAACAAACAAATGCTATAAATGTTGTGTTGTCTTCAGACTCTCAAAAACCCTTTGTTGTTGCTGTTTGCTGAGAAATATGCGGTTTAAAGTGTATGATGCTAACAGTTGTTAGAGCAGTCATTACAACAAGTACTTAGTGAATCCCACTGACTTTCTCACTGGTGACTAAAAAACATTTTGGTTAGAATGGAAATCGTTTCCAGATCCAAATTCTAAAAAGAGGAATATGTCTGTGATGTGCACTGCAGCAGTTTGGAAATGAGAGTTAACCTCTCTACCTCTGAGTCTGAGGCTTTTAGGTAGAAGATGGTGGATTTTCCTTCAAGCTTAGGGGTCAGTCTTTGCTTTATGTAAAATATTTTGTGTCTCTGTTGCACCTATGCAGGTGCCTGATTCAAGCCAGATACTGCACCTGCTACAATACTAAAGAACTAGATACTAGTGTGATTTTTGGAAAATTCATTGTAAAACTTATCATGTAAAACCTAATAAGCCTTCCTCTCCAAAAACCGGAGTTGATAGGAATATGGAATTGGAATCGAAACCAAAATGGTATGGATCATGAGCAAAATCATGGGATCTTGGATGTGAGAATCTGAACTTAGTTAAAATAGAGTTAGGAGTACCATCATTTAAAAGGAGTGTAAAATAAATTCGCTAATGCTTGAAATTGAAAGAAGTCAGAAAATGGATGGATGGATGGATGGATGGATGGATGGATGGATGGATGGATGGATGGATGGATGGATGGATGGATGGATGGATGGATGGATGGATGGATGGATGGATGGATGGATGGATGGATGGATGGATGGATGGTATGTAGTTAGCACAGCAGTATACCTAGCAGTGATAGAAAGAAAAGTAGTATTTCATTGATCTCAACAGGCCTTTAATAAGTAAGCTAAGACTTAACGGATCTATTTACTGATTTTGTCCGAATGAAACCATTTAACAGAAAAATAGTTCACTGCTCTTTCATTTCAACACTGGTGTTGATCAAATATTTTTAAGATGTGTGATCAATGAACAGTTGCTCCAGCAATGATTCATAAATGGGCTGAATTGTCTTTGAATACTGCTCTGCAGATAGCCTCTAGCCTTTAGCAGAATAACAAATGTGTGACTGCTCATCCTCCCCATTCTAAAAGAAGTCTGTTTTATCTCCATGTATTCTTGCTTTTGCCAAAATATGCATTATGATGACGAAGTCTGTAAAAGTATGAGCTTAATTATCTATTGATTTATGAATTCAGTAAACTGGACCAGTTTCCAAAACAGCACCATTCACAGTTAAGTGGATGCTGAACTGTGTAAGGCGAACATTTTTTTATTTTTTTTTGACTGACAAGCTATTACTTTACAGGCATGAACTCTGTTCATATTCTCTGTAGGGTCCTGTCCTTCCTCAATAAATCAATAGCGACAGCCAAAATACCAAAACCACAGCTTTAACTCTGCCATCCAAAAGCCAGCGGGCGTCGCCTCACAGTGATTTCGCCCATATTCTGTGTGAAGCTGATGGTTTCGTTTAATTAACAAAATAAATGTGCTAATTACTTGGCACACATTTTGGTTGAAAGCTGTACTTGTGAGTTCTTGTCTAGATGAAATTATAAGCATTTCCAGCGAACATCGAAGCTATAAAGTAATCCTTACGTTGACCACAGTGGTTTCCGACGTAGCCCTTCTGACACTGACAGCTGTCCTCTGCGCACGTTCCCCCGTTCATACACCGAATGTTACAGTGCTGGACTGTAGGGAAGGAGAGGACAAAAATAACACATTCAAACCAAGGCTGAGCAGCATTAAAAATACTTCAAACATGCAGAACTTTGAAAGATGTTTAAAAAAACAACAAAAACAAATGAATTAAATATAATATCCAAGAAATTGTTGATATGTTAAATAATCAGTACATCGGTATGAGAGAGAAAGATGGAGGATAAGTTGACTATATATTTTCCAAAACACAAAAACACAGACAGTCCACTCACACACACAGGCACACAAAAGAGTCCACGTGATTGCAGCATATATCAATTGCTGCAATCTGGAGTTAGTCTCATGGATGTGTTCAGGGGGGATTCTTTGACCTAGTATCAGTTTTGCCACACTTTTAAGTGTTCATTATTTGCGATTAAAATAAAAAAATCATATATCTATCACATCAATGCATAAAAATAGTATATTTTTATCATGTACACATTCTCTGTGTTTGTGAGTTGATTAAAGGCAATATTAAAGTAATTCAATATAAATGAAAATATAAAGCCATGGGTGGGGTTTGGGCAAACTTGTCTAAAAACCATTCCATGTTCATCTTTTGGCAAAGACTCAGTTATACCCTGACTGATGCACTAAATATAATTAAAAACACACAAAGCTTCAAAGAAGTAGGAAACATATGAGTTGTGAAAGAGGTGGTTTTGAGTCTGACCTGACTTGGATCCACAGGTTGTAGCAATCTGTCCATTGGGACAGGTGCACATGTTGGGTCTGGAGCAGAAACCATCTCCACATGAACTCCTGCAGATTGCTGAAAAAGGACAACATAACACTTATCTAAACAGCATAGAGAAAAACAACACAATCTTAGTGTTGTTCTCAAACTCTGGCACCAGGGTTTGACTTCATTGTGCAATTGAGAAAGAAATCATAAAACGGGTCTGGCTTTTGTGAAAGTGTGAACTGCCATTCTGCTGTAAATTTCAACACAGACCATGATCTTAACAGCAGACTGAACTTCCATTGTAAAAATCTCAAGAAGGATCTTAAGAAGTTGTTTATAATTGACAAAGTGCACCTGGCAACAGTGCTGAGTTATTTTATGCTTTGGGTTTTGTTGCCATTAATCTGTGCCAGCGACTGTTTTTAGTTGTCACTGTCTGTTCATTTGTTCCTTTTCCCCCCAGACTGTTTCTGGCAAGGTCCACTGCTCCCAGCTGCTGTCAGGTGACGTCCTGCAACTGACCCCTTCTCTATGAATCCCACAGCGAAACCATGTCATCAGAGCTGGGAGCGGCATGCCCCCAGCCGAACGGCCAGAGCAAAGTCATTCCCCTTACTCGCACAACTCTTCTGTCTCCAGAGAGAAAGACAGAAAGAGAAGGGAGAAAAAAGAAAACCTAACATCAAAACCTAACATCAGATTGCAGCATAAGGAGCTAAATTCATAACCAACTTCAGCATTTTTAAAACTTTACCTAATGCATTAATTAGTGCACATCACAGTGATGTATCAATATGGTGCCTTTTCTTCCTGTTTGTGCATGCAACTATTGCGAATGTTTTACTTTCCCTTTCCAAAACAACTTTGCTTTTCCCTTTTCTGGCTTGTTCTTTTCTGTGTTTTTCATGTCCCTTCTCTTTCCTGTCACCGTCCAGCTGAAACAGATCAACAAACAGACGTTTTATTTCTACTTTCTTCTGGAAACCTATGCATACTCATCATAGGACAACGTATCAGTAAAATTGATGCAAAGCAGTCAATTAGCTTCCCTTATCCTAAATATGTTTTTCAGAGCACTTAATCAGGTAGTAGTTCCTTAATAAAGTGAACCAAATGAAATAATTTTTAGCCTTAAATCTGATCATAATTAGATTTTTTTGTATTTAATTTCCTGTTTTTATTTATAAACAAAGAAGAAACAATGATTAAACAAAAAGTAATAGGGAAATAAGTGAGTATGAATATTTTAGCCTATGTCTACAATTTCAAATACAATCATGCAGACAGAAACACTTCACTTTTGTTTTAAGTTAATGTAACTAATTAGAGTAAATGGGTCAGTTGTTCTTAAACCCGTTGTTGTTGACAATTGTTCTCTGTTTAACATAATCAATCATTTTCTATTAAACCACACTACAAAGTAAGGGATAAAAGTATATATGAACTATGCTTATATTGGCCGATGCTCAAAGGTGCAATGGGGGGATCATATCTCAAATGAAAACATTCAATCAGGGCCCCCCTAATTGTCACAAAAAATCAAAGCATCACACCAGTAAATAGGATGATCACAGAACAACAGAACTCCTGAAAATCTGTATAGACTTTAAAATTACTACATCTCAAAATCTAGAGACTGCTAAAATAAATTTGATATAATTGAGCCTACGTTCCTGCTACTGCTGATTATTGACTTGAGCGCGTGATAGAATCAAAGAGCTTGCATGCTTTGCCTATACTTAAAGTTTTTTTTCTTGTCTTCACATGTTGAATCAAATGAGTGATGGGAGGTTATACTTACGAACAATGCACTGGTTTCCTCCTGTAAGAGTTTTCCATCCTGGGCAGCAATAGGTATTGCTTCTGGAGCCACACACATTTGGTCTGTGGAAAATTAAGCACCACAAGGTCAGTTTAATGTTACTTGATTCAAACTATTCAAAATATCAGGTTAGCTTCCTAAATATTTGAATTCTCAGCTTTTTTAACCTCTTACACCCTAAGGGGGTATAAATAAATTTCTGCCTGACAAAAACACACAAAAGTAAATAACTTATAGCCTCAAAGCTATTAGATTTAAGAAGAAACTTTTGGTACGTCTGTAAAGGTAAGATGTCATAGAATGGTTTTCTGGTGTCAGCACCATTGTAGGTTTGACCCTGCCTGAAATATTAGGGACAAAATACAAAATATTTTGCATTTTTTGAACCTCGCCAAAATTTTCTTTGAAATAAACATTGCAAAACACTACCAAAATATTATTTATAGCACAAAAAAGTAGTACAGACTTTCAAATCTAAATGTTGTGTAAAAATATACCAAATTTGGACTCAATCAGATGAATCATATTTATTTTAGAATGGTATTAGTTAGAAATTTCTTAGGCGGAGAGGCCATTTTGGCACATTTATCCATAAATGTCACCAAACTGTGCCAAATATGTTTTTTACATCAATACTGGGGGTTTGGTAAAACTACGAGGTCATGTAGCAGCTGGACCCGCCGGTGGGTCCGTAGGGTTCAAGGGGCTAAGCATGTTAGACACATTAGACAAAAAGCCTTAGAAGGTTTGATCCAGCTGATTCAGCCTGCTATCTCAGTCCAAATTTATGGTGTCGGGATTCTGCCAAATATCCACACATGCAACAAATACGAGCATTTTTACTTCATACAGAAGCTCATCAAAGGTATATTGGAGGATTTTTTGCTAATTTTTGAAAAGACCCACACTCTCCACTTTAAAAAAAGATGCACATGCACAACCCTGTACCTGCTTCCAAGAGGCAACGCCTATTAAACTAATGTAAGAGCGTGCAAAAGTCCATTTCTCCTTGTTCACGCTCTGTTTAAAAGTTGCTGTTTGTAAAGAAGATTTGCAATTTCTCTGTTATGTCAGACTCACCACCTGTAAGTGAAAATGAGGACAAGCACGTAGGACAGCCTCATGTAACAATATCACCAGAATGACTGATAATTAGGACGACCACTTATTTTGATGATCCACCCAGAAAAAGATCATCCTCCACTATACCTTTAACTTAACAGTGTAATAATAACATTGAAAAAAGAGAACTGGTTTTATATCTGGTTTCTTTTTTCAGCCTGCCCCAACTAATAAACTCCTTGTCAAGATCGACTCTTGCTTTTCCTCACACACGATCCCTTTCACGTTTCCTGTTTTTAGTCTCCTCAGAAAGTTAAAACATTTTCCTTGCCTCAGCCATGGCCAGTAGTAGAGCAGCGGAAAAATAGAGCAAAAGTCTTAGCTCCATGACTATGTAAGAACCTGTGGCTGTAAAGTGATACATTCATCCAGGTCACATGACCTGGCCAATGATGGTGCTTCTTCTCCCAACTTACATAATTTGTATTCTTAAGAGAGGAGCCCTGCTTGTAACATTAATAGTGCCAAACGCTGTATACTGGCCTGAGGAATCATTTAAAGTAACTCATGTGCGTCAACTCTTTAGGTCAAAGAAATTGCGGGGAGCCTTTAACTTTGGTGAAACAGTTTAAAAATAACTAAATGAACTAAAAATACAGCCTCTATTGTCGATGCGGCTGCCCGTAGCTGTGACCGTAAAGTTTGCGGTGCCTGTCGTGGTGGCAATCCCCAAACCCGATGGTGGACACCGAAAGTAAGGGATGCTGTTAAGCTGAAGAAGGAGTCCTATCGAGCTTAGCTGGCTTGTGGGACTCCAAAAGCAGCAAGCAGGTACCGTGAGGCCAAGCATGTCGTGGCCCGGGCGGTTGCAGAGGCAAAATCTTGGGCCTGGGAGGAGTTCGGATAGGCCACGGAAAAAGACTATCGGTTGGCCTCAAAGCGATTCTGGCAAACCGTCCGATGTCTCCGGAGGGGAAAGCAGTGCTTCACTAACACTGTTTTCAGTGGGAGTGGGGAGCTGCTGACCTTGAAGGAGGATATTGTCGGGCAGTAGGAATACTTTGAGGATCTCCTCAACCCGACAGACACGCCTTTCGTGGGGGAAGAAGGGACGTGTTGCTTGGGGGTAGATTCGTTCATCACCTAGGCTGAAGTCACCGAGGTGGTCAAAAAACTCCATGGTGGCAAGGCTTCAGGGGTGGACGAGATCCGTGCTGCTTATCTTAGAGCTCTGGATGTTGTCTGGCTGTCATGGCTGACACGTCTCTTCAACATTGCGTGGAGGTCGGGGACAGTCCCCCTGGATTGGCAGACTGGGGTGGTGGTTCCCCTCCACAAGAAGAGGGACCGGAGGGTGTGTTCCAAATATCGGGGAATCACACTTCTCAGCCTCCCCGGAAAGGCCTATGCCAGGGTGCTGGAGAGGAGAGTCCGGCTGATTGTCGAACATCGGCTGCAGGAGGAGCAGTGTGGTTTTCGTCCTGGCCGTGGAACAGTGGACCAGCTCTACACACTCTGCAGGGTGCTTGAGGGTTCATGGGAGTTTGCCCAACCAGTCCACGTGTTTTGTGGATTTGGAGAAGGCATTCGACCGTGTCTCTCGTGCTGCCCTGTGGGGGGTGCTCCAGGAGTATGGAGTCGTGGGCCCTTTATTTGGGGCCATCCGTTCTCTGTACAAGCAGAGCAGTAGTCTGGTTGGCATTGCCGGCATTAAGTCAGACCTGTTTCCAGTGCATGTTGGACTCCGACAGGGCTGCCCTCTGTCACCTGTCCTGTTCATAACTTTTATGGATAGGATTTCTAGGCGCAGCCGAGGACCGGAGGGGGTCTGGTTTGGGGACCAGCGGATCTCGTCCCTGCTTTTTGCGGATGACGTAGTTCTACTGGCTCCCTCCTGCCAAGACATACAGCGTGCGCTGGGGCGGTTCGCAGCCAAGTGTGAAGCGGCCAGGATGAGAATCAGCTCCTCCAAGTCCGAGGCCATGGTTTTTCAACCCTTCAGGTTGGAGGAGAGTCCCTACCTCAAGTGGAGGAGTTCAAGTATCTTGGGGTCCTGTTCACGAGTGAAGGAAGAATGGAGCGGGGGATCGATAGATGGATCGGTGCGGCTGCTGCAATAATGCGGACGCTGTACTGGTCTGTCGTAGTGAAGAGAGAGCTGAGCAAAAAGGCAAAGCTCTCAATTAACCGGTCGGTCTACGTTCCTACCCTCACGTATGGTCATGAAATCTGGATCATGACCGAGAGAACGAGATCCCGGATACAAGCGGCTGAAATTAGCTTTCTCCGCAGGGTGGCTGGGCTCTCCCTTAGAGATAGGGTGAGGAGCTCGGTCATTCAGGAGAGGCTCAGTGTAGAGCCAGTTCTCCTCCACATCGAGAGGAGTCACTTCGGATGCCCCCTGGATGCCTCCCTCGGGAGGTGCTCCAGGGACGACCCAGGACACGCTGGAGAGACTATGTCTGGGTATGGCTGGCCTGGGAGCGCCTAGGGCTTCCCCCAATAGAGCTGGAGGAGGTGTCTGCGGAGAGGGAAGTCTGGGAGTCTCTGCTTAGTCTGCTGCCCCCGCGACCCGGTTCCGGATAAAGCGGGAGACGACGAGTACGAGTACGAGTACATTCTAGTACTTTCAGTTTTTACCACAAACCTTAAAAATGATTCATACTAACTTCCAGCTGCTACAGTGGAAGTGGGAGATCCCAGACAGTATGGACGGCTTCAGATAGCTTTCAATAGGGAGTCCCAGCACTGTCCCCCGTCGGTATGCTGGGAATCTGCCACTCAGGACAAGAACTGCATATTTTAGTAGGATCATAATCTTGATGACCTGACTGTACAAAAGATGTTTTGAGGTGAACTGTCTCACTTCAAAATGTATTAAATCTATTTTTTTCTCCAACTCATGGAAGTAAATAAATCCAAGCAGCTTTCTACCTTCTAACGACAGATAAACAACCAGAGAGCAGAGCATCCGAGCATCTTTACCAGTGTTTGATCCAGCGTTCAAGTTTCGGCGTTAAAGCATTTTTTTACGAGCGAAACAGTGTGGATGGTGTGAGAGCCCCATTTTATATATTTCAGAACCCAACATGCTGAAAATGTATTTCAAAACATTTTTTTTTGTTATTTCCCCCTTTTACTATTAAAATAATTGGCTTTATAGTAAAAAAAAAAAAACAGCAAGAAATTGTCTAATCTTGCTGACTGAGAAGAGGCCAATCAAACATCAAGGTTTCTATGGAAGTTTTCTAGTTCCGCTTCCTTGACTTTGATGGATGTATGACAGTTTAAATTAATTCTTTGTGTGCTTTAATGCAGAAAAATTAATTATTTATTAAATCATGAAATACTTATATTTTTTCATAAAATAAAACCAATATATTTAACTATGAGCCATTTGATTAATTATATATGTATTATATAGATTCAGCATTTATTTTCAGTTTTAATGGATTGAAGGCAGATTTAAATAATCATTTACTAAATTCTTTATTTAATACATCGTGGAACTGTCCATAATAAAGTACTTCTAAGTTGTTTTACTGTTAAGTCAAAGCATCCTAATGTAAACCAAGGATATCTTTTTGACACCGCCTAAAAATATTCTCTAACAGACACACTTTTTATTAGGTTTTATCAAATCATACAAGCAATTACAGTAAAAGTAAAGTACAACCCTGGAGAGGCAACAATATACTTTCTAGTTTGTTTGTTTTTTTATGCCCTGACCTGCGGATTTTGACCAACATTTTCCAAAAGGAAAGTTAAGAATAATTTTAACACTATGGACTGTTGAGCACTGTCTGTAGACCAAACCAAGTGTGTGCATATGTGACAAAAGACACCTCTTTCCAAGTCCATTTAGCTTTTCCCCTTCCCTTCTCACCTGTTTCCTGAAATATTAATTTTTGCACAGGATAAATACACAGCTAGCCCCACCATTGTTTGTAAAAACATCCAGTGAGGGATTATAAAAATCATAACTTTATATCTATTATGTGTTATTCTAGTTATTTTCTTTTTTTTTTTTTTTTTTTTTTTTTTTTTACAGTGTCCTGTCTAGTTATTTTCTATTGTATTTGAGTTCTTAGCCATTTCTTGTTTGCCCTCTGTTGCCCTCTTCTCTAGTGTCAGTCTCCTTTTCCCTAGCGCCCTTCTAGACTACTCTGTTCACCCCTGCTCCCAATCGACTTATTAGCCTGGTTTTTCTTTCTCTCTCCCATATATGCACCTCCTGTTCAGTCACCGTTGCTGGTTTTTCGTCATTTCTTTGCCCCCTTGTTGTGAGTATTCCTGGTTCTCAGTTTTTGTGGATTTTTTGGATTTATATTTTTGGATTTTTGCTGCTGTTACCCCTTTTTGTTAATAAATATGCGTCTGCATGTGTCTGCATTTGGGTCCTGTCAAACCTCCAGCCCACTTGACATTTACTTTGGCAAACAATCGTCTTTAGATTAACGTTTCAATCCACTGGACAGACTTTTCAACATCCTAGTAGGGAGGAGCTAAGCTCTGAGAGGCAGCTGTTCACATGGAGGTACATCCACATACAGCTAGCCTGACTTGTAAACCAAAATCATATTTATCACCTAAGGGGCGATTTATATTCTTCTTATTCCATTTAAATTCTCTAAGCCTTTATCACTGCTCAACAAAAGGCTAAATCAGATGGGCTAATTTTTTATCAGTCTGTTAAATAAAGGAATACTAAGAAATTTAGAGATTACCAGTTTATGAATTTACATAGCAACTGTATGTGCAGTGTTTTTTAAAGTTAGGGTTTTTCATTATTTTTTCCTGACTTTTTGTCAGATTTAAAACTGCCATCTCTTTTCATCGGCAGCACATTTTTCTGTTTGTTTTATGCGTTATATTTATTCCTTAAAAAAATTATATTTGATCATAATTGAAATGATTGGGTTAGACCTCAAAGTTAGCATTGGCAGAGACAAAGCCTGATTTGTGCACCTATATTTACATACTGCAGAACCAAAGTTCTTAACACTGCATTAAACCATTCATATACTGATGGTGGTAAGCCACACTGTAGCCACAGCATGCCCAGGGCAGACTGAAAGAAGCAAGGATCCCATGAAATCAGAGCCACCAGGTCCTGTGATAACCAACAGCAGACAAGTCAGTTAAATCATTTTGCCCAAAGACTAGACGGAACAAGGGCTCCAACCAGCATCCCACCAGTTACGGGATAAACCATACATCCAAATAGCCTTCTGACATGAAAACACCTGGACCATTCTGCCATCTACAGGCCTGAAACATGTCAACATGTGGTAACTTGTGATCACTCAGCATTCACTGATCCAGAAAGGGTGATAAGCATCATAACTTAGAAAATAACCTTGGGTATATAACTAATATACATAGGGGTTTGTAACATTGGTAAGTCAGCGTGACACAGTATCCAGGCTGAATGCACTTCCTGCCTTTGAAACCAGATGTTGCAACCGATTAACATGATCCGTGTCAAATAAAAATGCCTGCAGAGAAAGCTCATAGAGCTGTCTGCTATCTGACCTCCATCAGCTGTGTGCTGTCATCACTGGACACATGCATTTGTTCTTGTCTTTATTGCTTTTCTTCTGTCTGACTCTCTCTCTCCCTCACATACACAAACACACCTCACACAAAACCTCTCCAGCAGTGACCCACTGTGAACAGCTGCACATGAGATTTATCCACAACTGGGGTGTGGTGTATTTGGCTAAAAGGAGGATCAGGCTGTTAGTCTCTTAGCGCCCCCCCCCCCCCCCCCACACTTCTGCCACAGCCACACAAGACCAATGGCCCTCTTTGTTTGGAAGTAATTTATTATTGCAGTCAGCAGGAATGTGGTATTCCTGCCAGTATTTAATTACTAAACTTCTTTCCAAACTTCCCATCACACACAATGTCATCCATGGGTCTCAGCATCCCTTATTAAAAATACACAAAGAAGCAATTGCTGACCAACTGTTTTTCTTAAGACACCTGAAGAAGACACCTGTTTCAATGTCCAATTAAGACTAACAGGATGTTCAGCTATATACATATATATATATATATATATATATATATATATATATATATATATATATATATATATATATATATATATATATATATATATATATATATATATATATATATATATATATATATATATATATAAAACGGTCACATTACCCTCTGAGGGCATCTGTCCCCCCTCTCCTCTTGGCCCTATTGACTCTTGTGTCCATGAGTCTGGTCACCGGCTGGCTGTCCTCGTTGTCCACCTCCTCTGCAGCGCCTGTGAGTCTGCCAAAAAGCGACAGCGAGGCCAAAAGAGCGACGGCCAACTGCAGCAGCCGTCCTGCGCGCTTTCTCCCCGGCATGTCCTCTCCAAAGAGCGCAACTCCAGTGCTCGCTGAAATAAGGATTTTTTTTAAACTACTGGTTTCCCAGCAATGACGGACCTTCGCAGCCTGGAGTCAAAGCTAAAAAAACAAAAACAATATAGTAGAAATAAATACATAACATATAATGGAGGTAAATGAATGAAAATATACATATAACTGATATGGATTAAATTTATTTTATGTTAACAATATTTTTCTTACCTAATTTTTAAGATTAGAAGAAAATGTAATTATGTTGGTTCTTTACCTTGTCTCCAAAGAAGGAGATTCGCCTGGGACTCAACTCAGGACTGCTTTACTCCAATAAACAGGTAACAGCTGAATAAGCCTTCTGAGCAGAAAAAAAACAGCGCACAGGAGAAAAAGTTAGTGAAAGCCTTCGCCTGCAGCTGCTAGGAGTAGATGCGCATCGTAACCTTTGGAGACTACTCATGCGCATGCAGCTGAGCGTTGGTTTTTGCGCTGGTAAGTTGGAGGAGCGGATGCATTCCTGAGGATGGGAATGGTCAAACTCTCTATGTCTCTCCCCCTCTCTCTGCAAAGCTCTTTCCTTAGCCCTGCTCTACTCAACTTTCCCCAAAACTTTTTTTTTTCGTCTTGCGCTCTGCTCTCGCGATACAAAAGAAAAATGACTGAGCTCTGGAATGTGCTGAAAACTCAGCACCTCACAATGAGGTGAGGAAACCAATTCCACTTATTAGGAAGATGTATCTTTCGAATATGAGACAATCAAATCATATTTACAATCAAATTAAAATTTCCATAACTTTTCCAATGTTATGGAAAAGTTCCTTTATTCCATCAGCTCAAGTGAAACATTCTAGATAAATTACACACAGATAAACCAACCTGGTTCCTGGTTTCTACAGAGCAAAAACACCTTAATCTTTCCCAAAGTAGAAGATTCAAATTTGCTGTGGAGTTTCTTTTAATATTCGAAGAATTATCAATAATCAGTGGCAGAAACTTTAAGATCTCATAACATCACAGTTTTGATATATAGGCAAACTTAATTGTTTTTTAACTTAACCACTGTGGAAATGAAACCCCTTACAGTGTCACCAGGAGACTATAAACACATTCAAGCATTAAATGCAAAGTAAAACTTAATCTTCTCAATTATACTTTCAGGATATAAGAACCAAAGTTTCAACCAGATCTTCAAAAACGTATCTATGTGTTTGTATAAATTACACCAACAGCGTCGTCACAGGTCTGCCCTGAAGACATCTGCAGTTTATCCATAATGTTGATACCTTTGTCATTAATGACACTAAACCATCAGAGTACATCACCCGAAAGCCCTTACCCTGGGTTACTGTGTCTCAGACATTAAACTTTGAAATACTTTTGTAAGTCTAGAATCTTTAAATAGCTTAGCTACAAAGTACATCAAATATATCAACTTTCAAGACTACTTAGGTCTTCTGGTTCAGGTCTACACAACATCCCTAGAAACATGTAGCCAGAAGCATGTAGCCTTATTTAGCTCCATTTATCTGGAAGATGCTCCGAGGTAAGTGCAAAAAAAAATTAAGTTCTTTAAATATGGATTGAAACCAAATTGATTAGAGTTTCCCTTGGTTGTTCTATTTAAACTATTAACTAAACTATCATGTTTAATTGCTAGAAAAAAAAACTTTTCTTTACATGCGTTCGTAATCCCCCCCAAACACCAGACGTCATTTAGAAGTTGTTTTTTTAGGCTAAATCTAGTCTGTTCATCATAGTCTTGATTTAGTTCTGAAATATTTGTTTAAAATTTGACTGTTTGGTCAGTCTGATTTTATCCCACCTTAGTCCAATCATAGACGTTGAACAATTGTTGAAGACTTTTCAACGATCTGCAAATTAAGGCTTTTCACCTTTCACTTTTCAACCAAATGTAGACGTCATTTGGATGTCTCATGTCATCTTTTCAAAGTCTTTTCAACCAATATTTGCCCTTCAAATACCTTGGTACTGTAATATACGAAATTACCTAATTTCAGTCAGATAAACTGATGTATCAAGGCTCCCATTTAACTATTAGAATAAATGATAATTGCAAACCACAAATCAGTTTCAGAGTTTATTAAGGATATTTATCTTACTGTTTTCTCCTTTAAAACTGATTGTGTGCAACAGATTAATATTTAAGATCAAGGTTTAGCTTAATTTTAACTTGGCCATGTGATTTCTTTTCTCATGAACACATTCTACATTTCTTGTTAAATATTACTCAAGTTCCAAAAAGTACCAGCTTTGATGGTCTTTATGTAATTGAACTAAAAGCATTGCACCTGTGGAGTTTTACTATGAGCCATTTTTATACAGAACCCTCGGCAAACGTCTTACTCTGTGGAAAGCTGCACCAAATCGTAGCTTTAATGCACATCTGTTCACAAAGTTACCACAGCTAGATTTTTTTATTGGGGCTGTTTTCTTGAACTTGAGCTGTCTCTCTAAAAACGTCCACATCAAACCTTCTTTAGATGTGCTACTTTTTTATCTGCAACCAATGCAATAGAAAAGTATCCTTGATGCTGCTATATATAAAGCAGAAGGTTTGGCAAATATTGAGCATCTGAAGACTGTGTGATTTGAGGAATTTTATTCAGTGTAGTGATAGTTTTCACACCCTGCCTAATGTTAGTAACCACACCCTGTAAATATACAGTCGGCTTGTTTCTCTCTGAAGTTGGCTTTCTGAATATACAGCAGTCACCTTCAATTATGTTTCACATCAGCTTCCCTGTTGGCTTTTCCTCACGACAAACTCTCTCCAACATCTTTCAATCACTCCAATCTGTGCTTAAATTCTGGTTTGATATCCGAAGGTTTTCTTAAAATGAAATATGAGCCTTGTTTTACACATCTACCACTTATCTGACTCGAATTGGCTTTTTTTTTAAATCAAATCTATGTTTAGCCAAAGATTTCTTCTGTCTTTCTCTCATGGAAGTCTGTTCACTAACTCAAATTTAGCCTAATCAAGGCTGTGCTGCTCTCCCTGCTTTTATTGCTGCTCTCTGCATGGTCTTTCACTGCTGACAAGACCTTGTTTCCGAAAAGACTGCCAAGAATCTTTCTGTCTCAAGACTGCCTATTGTCAGACAGTGCTCAAACCTGTGTGCACTTCCGCTGCTTTGCCTAAACCTATTTTTTTAGCAATACTTTAGTCAAGTCCTGTTAAAGTCTAATGTCGAACTGTTTTAAATCTTTAATAACTGAGGTTACCCCTTCTTTACCTTATGCTATTTCACTGTAATAGTGTATAGATAATGGATGAAGACATTTATTATTCACAGAAAAATCACTCGGATCACTCTGTGTTTCTGATTAGAAATGACCTAATATGATTATGTAAAAAATAAATAAATGCTGCTTTAATTACTTTGGATTTGTTTTGGTATACAGAAAATCCCATGTATTAGCTGGAGTTGATTGCATCTTGGAAGCATACCCTGTGGGGAAGCACACCTTCAGCCGGGCTCCTCTGGAAACAGTGCTGATTATGTGGTTGCATGTTTAGCTGTGTAAAGACTCTAATAACATTTATGATTGGCTGAATAATACAGACAGCCTGGTTGGACTTAAGGATATTTGTTTCATTACAAGTTATTACAAGTTATGTTTACCTAAAGTTTGACATTGTTTCAAGTGAGAGATTTCCCATTTCTTATAGCTAAGTGAGGAACCATAACGTTCCTACTGTCAGATTGGAGGGATAAATGTGTCTGGAACGTACCATTCTCCAAATTATTCTGCAAATACAGGTTCTGTATGTATAGGGTTCAGAACTAGCCAATTTTGTTCAATAGTTTTGTGGACATTACTTACTCTTCAGCTCTTAAATACTACAGATGGAATTAGATTTGGGACTAAGAGCACTATGGATATTTTCATATTTTCAGTCTTTTTGCAGATGCCAGCACTTCACTCAGAGAAGAAGCAAAGGGGAGTTTTGCTGATTTAATAAAGACTAACAGGCAACTTAGACAAAAATCTAGAAAAAATACAAAAATTCTGAAAACCAAACAAAATCCAAAAACTTCAGGGAAAATACTCAAGGGGAGCATTTTATTTTAAAATAGTTCACTATGACACCCACAGGCAAGGTTCCTATGGCTTTTGTAAGAGAGCAGCCACACAGAGTGACAGATTCTCAAATATGTTTTTACACATTTCCTTTGTTTTACCTCAAACTCATTTGGTGAAACCCCAGTCATAGACTCTTCTAACCGGGGTACATGGTTTTAGTTATAGTCCCACTACAGTTTGGAAAGTGTAACACGTTTAACTGTGTTTTTTTGAATAGCAAAAAGTTTTCTTTATTTCTTTCCATTTCTATGTGGGACCATTTCAAAAAAGTTTATTGAAAAATAATAATCATAGTAGTTATGGTGACTTGGAACATTTCTCAGACAGCAGGAGTCCCCCTTAGCGTTCTCCTCGCTGGTGGAAAAAAACATCGGTGCTCATCCATTCTAGCGGCCAATGAGAATGCAAAACAGGCTTTGGCTTCAAGTCCAATTTATGCAGGAACTTAAAGCAAATTTAAGTTGTTATAAACTGAAAGGACAGTTTTTTGGTAAAAAAAAAAAAAAAAAAGAATATATATGCTATTGCAATAAAATATATAATTCTAATCACATATTGTCTCTGTGATGATCATCTGTGAAAGGTATATTGTTAATTATTTATATCTATCAGGGGGTAACTGGACAGTGGGGTGTTCTATGAAATAAATACATCTTTAAAGGTTTATTTTTATCTCTCTTAGTGCAAAATAGGAGGTACAAACTTAAACCATTTTTGATTTTAGTACTCAGACTAATATACAGATGTTTTGTATGGCGAATGCTTTCTTTATTGACGTTTTGCCATTATTTAGGATGCCATCAATACTGTATTTTTCATTCCCTTTTTCTGTCTGTAAGAACCTAATTAACTCTCTTGTACTTTGTAAATTATAATGGAATTGTCTCTGAGGTATTATTTTGACCTATGTTCCAAAGCTCAGTGCTGATTAAAAGCTCTCGCATAAACGAGGAGTTTATGCTTGAGTAATAGAGGTGTAAATGAGAACGGAAATGTAACTCAACATGTTAAGCGCTGTAAAATGCAAACAGATTAGTTATCTCAAATGGTATGCATGAGAGGCTGGGGATCTTGGCAGAGGAGACAGCTGCTCAGAGGATAAAAGGTTTAAAGTTGGAATGAGAGAATTTGAGGAACTGTGCATAGAGGGGTTGTTTTGACAGGAAGAAGGGCTCTCCCTCCTCATCTCAGAGCCTAATCTTTCTCTCTATGCATTGTAAAGATCAACATGTGGAACATATGCATGAACTGAGTGGGAGTAGAATAAGAGTACAATAATAATAAGTGAAAAAGAGCAGCAGATAAAATCTTCTAAATGGATAACAACCTGCTTCTCATGCAGGCTGTCCGAACTAAATTCTTTTCAAAATGAATAAAGGTACTTTACTGTTCCCGTTAAAGAGAAATGTGAAAAATTAAACATCAACTGATACAAAAAAGGAACAAAGGCACAA